TCTAAAGAATATTATGACATAATAATTACATACAGGAAAAGCGTATGTATACAGGGTGGTCCGTTTTTCATGGCTCACAATTGGCATCTGGGAAACCGCGAAAAAAGTCGTGCCTTCTCAGGGTCATTAAAATAAACCAAACAGATCAGAGATATTTGCTGCCGTTTCTGGAATATTGCGATTTTAGAAAATGCCATCTAGCGTCCTTATTTCACAACAGAAAGTGCGGAAATTTGGTGTTGAGGAATAAGAAGATACGACGAATCCATTTTTGTCGAAAACTAATTTCAGTTATGCAACAATCAATTGTTTTTTTCTTATGGGCGCCATATTGGATCTTGACAGTAATAGATAGAGGATAAAATTAGGTCAATATGTAACACTACTATTTTATTTCCAGAATAACCTATAAAATTAAGGAAATTCAATAATTTTTTTTTAATTAATAAAATCTAGTTGTTCTTGACGTAAAACAATCTGTATCTTACGGTTTCCCAGACGCCAATGGTGAGCCATGAATAACGGACCACCCTGTATGAGGGCTTTACGCCAATCACTCTCTGTAATATTTTATTAGTGAAATTGTTTTTATTTATAGAAATATAAAAGCCATAAAAATTGAAACTAACTTTATATGTACAGGAAAACAGTCCGCGTTACACAGCCGGTAGAGCAATGCATGATCGTTAAAATATAAGCTTCAATTACTATTCATTATTCATAAAAATGAGGATGAATAGTTCGTATAAATAAAACATAAATTTAAAATTACCGGCACTGTCCGTTTTTTTCCCCCATTTCGAACAAACGGTAGTATTCATAATTATCGAAGTTGTTCTTTTATCGTACATATTTTCATTTATTACCTTCTCATTAATTAACATTTGCGCTCCAATTTCACTGGAAATTAACTAAAAAGCCATTAACAAATAAATTGTCAATGCGACACTGACAAACACGTAAATGGGATACAGAGTTTATAAGCTACTTTAATTTTTGTCAAAGAACACATTTACCTTAGTTTTGAACTTCCTTTAAAATTTATAATTCAGGAGTCGTATATTTAATAATTAATTATTAAATAACCGGAATTAAATTATTGAAAGGCCAAAAATAAAGTAAAATGTGTAGCAAAAGCCCTTTAGCTTTACTTTAAAGATATTGAGAGATATTTCCTAAGAAGAACTACTGAAGCTTTTAGGGTGTACTAAGATCTGCGGCTGCAGTGTTTTGTCTACATTCGCCGTATATCAACATATTTACTACAATTTTACCCACGTTAAATTAATGCTCAAACGCAAAGGAATAAGGAACTTTAACAATCTACCTAGATTAATGTGAATTAATTTCTGGCAACACTTAGAAACTGATTATGTGGTTACTTCTAATACAATATACTCAGTGCATAAATTGCATCAGTTCCAACTGAGGGAAACAGAAAACCGCATTTTTTCGCATCAGCACCCTCCCTCTCCAGGGCCAGTTGAACTGTGAAATCTTAATGGCACCCCACTTTTGCTGATACACAAAACTTACCGGGCTTAGGAATATACCTTATTTTCCGACATTTAAAATGAAATTGATCGATGCCTTAATCTCAATCTCTCAAAGTAGTTATTTATATGACAAGTTTACAAATAACACTTTGTGCACTAGTGATACTTTTGTTGGCGGTCTTATGAGTGAAAACTGATATTGGAAGTCCGTGTTTAACACTAGTGTGTAAAATGAGATCCAATAGTACATTATTTATTTCCCCTCACGTAACATGTTTCTTTTTCTTCTAAGAATAATGCAACATTAATTATTATTAGTCAAAAATGAAACAAACATAAATTAGTTAGATATGTAAACACTATGTAGAGTAGCACTTTTCAGTCCCATGACAGTTTATTTTACACAGTGGTTCACAAATTACATAACTGTATGCACTAGTGTTCAAATTATATAACTATATGCACTAGTGTACAAATTATATAATTTTGTGCACAAATTACATAACTGTATGCACTAGTGTTCAAATTATATAACTATATGCACTAGTGTACAAATTATATAATTTTGTGCACAAATTACATAATTTTGTGCATAAATTACATAATTTTGTGCACAAATTACATAATTTTGTGCACTAGTGCACAATTTATATAATTTTTAACACTAGAGCTTAAATTATAAAATATTACGCAATTGTACACAAATTGTATTAGTGTTTAAATTCGAACCAGATAATAAAATACACTAATGTGTAAAATAAAGCAAAATAGTAAATTATTGTTAATTCCCCTAATGTAACATGTTTCTTTTTCATCTGAGAATAATACCACAGTATTATAAATATTCATGATTAGCCAAATTTTATAAAACAAACATAATAAAATAGTATGTATGTAAACAGTATGTAAAGTAACACTTTCCAGTCCCATGACACGAAATTTTACACACCGCCGCACAAATTATTTTATTTTGCGTACTAGTGTTCAGATTATATAATTTTACACTAGTGTACAAATTATGTAATTATATAATTTTATGCACTTGTGCACTAATAATTATATAATTCTAAGCACTCTTACACCAGTTATATAATTTTACACACTAGTGCATAAAATCGAACCAGATAATAAAATAATCGTTAATAATTTCTGCACTGCATTACCAACCAATAGTATTTAAAAATAAATGAACACCTACTGTTTAAATTGGTAGGTCGTACTGTGTAAACATAATAAAATTAATTGTTTAATTGTAATATGTTTCCTTTTCTTCTGAAAATAATAGAACAGCATTATAAATATTCATGTCTGGCGAAATTTTATAAAACAAACAATAAAATAGTTATGTAATTTACGTAAAGAGTGTGTCCTAGTCCCATGACAGTTTATTTTACACACTAGTGCACAAATCATATATAATTTTACACAGTAGTGTTCAAATTTATGATTTTATCTGTTAGTGTACAAATTATATATTTTTTTGCATAGTGCACTAATTATATCATTTTTCGCACTAGTACATAAGTTGTATAATTCGGTGCACCAGTGCACAAATTTTATAAATTTTTACATTAGTGTTTAAAATCGAACCAGATAATAAAACAATTATCGATTATATTTCCTCGGTGTTAGCAACCAATAGTATTATTTTAAAACAAATTAGCACATACAATTTGAGTAAAATTTAATTGAAAATGGAGTGAATTATTGTTTAATTCCCCTCATGCCAAATTTTATAGAACAAACATAATAAAATAGAGTTGTAGTGTATAAAGTAACACTGTCCAGTCTTATGGCAGTTTATTTTACGTACTAGTGCGCAAATCATATAGTTAGATGCACTGGTGGTCTCATTGTACACACTAGTGTACAAATTATATAATTTTATGCACTAGTGAATCAATTATATAATTTATAACAGTAGTGCGTGCATTATGTAATTTTATACAATAGTGTTTAAAATCGACCCAGAACAAAGTAAAATTACCGATTATCCTTCACTGTATTATTAACAATTAACATTTAAAATAAAAGTGCATCTACTGTTTCAATTAAATTTATTTTAAACTCGTCAAAGTTACATACTTTTTAAAGATTTAATTTCATTTATATGACTAGTGTTTCTTTATTTTAGAACACCCTGTATAAAAGTAAATATTTTGAAATAATTCAATAGCCTACGAATTTAATAAAAAGGATAGGGTTGCTAAATAGTCCGTCTGCTAGTCGCTTATAAAATATATATGAGAGCAGCACACTCCAGACATTTAATGTGGAAGATAGATTACTGCGATTAAATATTAAACAGTGCGGTACACCACCAGATAGCGTATTCCTTCAGTGAGAGATAGTATCGAGCAGAAATCTTTACAGAGACATCGACCCCCCTTGTGCGGAATGGAGGCATACTGCTATAAAATGCAGGAGTAATGTAATAAATGACAAATAAGCTGGCAACCGAGCAAAAACGTGAAATTTTTGCTTACTCACAGTTTTTATGACGGATCGATACGTCTGTAAATAAATTATGGACTTTGGGTTCTGTGGAGCTTTATTGCAACTGCACCTTAATTTAGAAAATCAGTATATTCGCTCTTTTAGTTGTTTGGACTGTATCAACATATTCGTGAGTGAACTCATCATTATTACAGTACGTTAATATTTAATTAGAAGCATTTGAAATAAAAGTCTATTAATGTCATATCAAAAATTGATGAAAAATTTATTTTTAAAATTTTTACAACAGTTTCTAAAATACTAACCTTTGGCGTAGTAGTAGTAGTGCGTAAATATTTTACACACTAGTGTGAAAAATAAGTTATTCGTGTTTTGTTACAGGTGTCGAAATTTCCAAACTGACAATTAGTAATAATGGAATTAAATTATTTTACATATTTGGAATGTAGCAATATATTCGTGAGTACGTTAATATTTAATTAAAAGCATTTGAAATAAAAGTCTATTAATGTCATATCAAAAATTGATGGGAAATTTATTTTAAAAATATTTACTACTGTTTCTAAAATATTCGTCTAGTACCTAGTGCGTAAATATTTTACACACTAGTGTGAAAAATAAGTTACTAGTGTTTTAATTTATCACAAAATTATATTGTTAAAAAATATATATACTTCTTTAAAATGGACAATTTATATTTAAATTTGTTTCAAATAAGGTTTATTTTCAAATCCGCGTAAAACAAAATAACTTACGCACTGGTGCGTAAAATGAATCGTGCGTAATCTATTTTCTGAAACATATCTTGAAGTAATCATGGCATGCTACCGTGTGTAAGGCACCTTTCCATTTGTGGAAAAAGTGTAAGTTTAGACACTTGTTTAATAATTATTTTGCTTTACTACACAAAAATTCGTATTTATTTCTAGAATTGTCACAAATTCGATGACGAGAATCTAATATTAGTAAATAAAATTCGTAGTGTAATGATAACCTTTGACATGCAGATGACATTAAATTCATTCATTAAGAGCGTCTGATTGTAACAGTTCCAGATTCAGTTTAATAAAAATACTGCGTTAGTTATAAAAAATGAATCATATTTTCTTTATTATTTTATGTGTTGTGGTATGTATTCAGAGTGAACCTGTGATTATCAGCAGTGATATTCCTAATTCTAATACAATAGTGACGGCTAAAAATGTGACCTTACCAAAAAGTACGTCTCCATAAATTCTTAAAATCTTAAGTTTAATTAAAAGACCGGTTGGAAAACTCAAAATTTAAGTAAAACAATTTGGGACTAGTTCGTGATTCCTTTTGAACCAGATTTAATACTCAGGTATTTTTTTTTAGTTGAGTACAAGATAGTAAACAAACCTCATCACCTGTTCATAGGTAGGTGCAGTTCAAAGCATAGGGTTTTGCACCAAGAAAATATTATTCTAACAAACGATGGAAAAAGCCATGTGTCTGCTACTATACGGGTAAGTTCGGCTAAATTTGTAAATATTGAATTTAAATTTTTCGAATTCAAATACAATAATTTAAATTTCGAAATTTACAAATTAATCGAAATTCGAAATTTTGTATATTTGTTCAAATTTTTTATTTTATTTTTGCACTCAAATTTCAAGAGAAAACTCATAATTTCCAATTTAAGTTTAAAATATCCTGTTGACTTTCGAAGTGTCAAATTCAAACTTAAAATTCCATATTAGAACTATTTCTAATGAAAATTTGAATCCTAAATTGCAAGTAAAAAAATCATACGTCAGAATCGAAATTCATACTTTTTTAAATTATGAAACGACTTTTACGTAAGAACATAACATAATTATTGTGTTATAAAAAATGAATTCAACTGTTTTGTAATTAGTTAAAATTGCATATCTTTAAGTCTTTTGCATCTTTTTAAATTTCTAGTTGAATCATGCTATTTGGCGTTTTTATTTGCAAGTTTCAAATTGAAATTTTTATAGTAAATTTCAATAGTGCCTTCAATTTATAGATTTGAAATTAAAACTTTATAATTAGATAAAATTAAGCCCTATAAACTTAAAATTTAAATGACATTTTGAATTTGTATTTTTAAATTTAAATTGAAACTTGAAATTTCATGTTTGAATTCAAATATATGTAATTTGAATTTCGAATTTTTGTATTGAATCTTGAAATTTGAAGTGCAAATTTTTTGACGAAAATTCAAATTTTCCTCTTGGAACTCGTGTATGAATTTTGAAATTTTAAATTCACACTTCAAATTTCGTATAAAAACTATTTTATGTTGAAACTTATTTCAATATTCAAAATTTCAAATTTGAAATCCATATTTCGAGTTAAAAATCAATATTTCGATTTGTATGTTTTAAACTATAACTTAATGTTTTTTAATTTTAAACAGAATTACATAGTTAATTTATTTATTTTACTAAAGCAAGTTAATTTCACAGTTTTTAATTAGATAACGTTGCGTTTCTTCCGATTTAGTTCTTTAAAAATCATCGAGGGTCGAAAGTGTAGAAGAAAATTGACACTAACGGTCCTATGCAAGAACTAGAATAATGCTATTTATTTTTTAGATGAATGTGGAGGGACCGGTATATATAACGTGTGTCAACATATTTGATGAAATTCCAAATGGGGAGGGAGGCTACCCTAGTTTCGCAGCTGGAGGGGTAGGACATAATTTTATAGAATTTAACGTGTTGACCAACTACGGCAAAGGGTTCCACTTTTTCGTACAAATTTTTGGATACACGAAAAAAGACAACGGCAAGAACAACTATTAAAAGTTCTATTTATTTAATAAATGGTTTATTTAACAAGTAGGAAGTTGTTTAGTTTGTCAATTATTTGCAAATTTTATTCATTATAGTAAAGGTAAATTGTTCTGTCTCTGTCTTAACTTACTGTTAATTTCGCTCTTCAAGAAAACGAATAAAATTGTTATTTACGTGTCTAAAGTAACACTTTTTCACTAGTGAAATTTTTTGAAAGTTTTAATCAGAATTATGAAACAATGTTTTACGCACTGTGCGTAACGTATTTCATTTTACACAAATTAAATTATGAATAATTTTTCGCACTAGTGTGTAAAATACTTACTTTACGCACTAGTGTACAGTGTAAATGTCTAAAATGAAATAAGGTTGTATCGTTATTATATAAAAATCTGTTACAAATTAATTTATGAACAACTTTTCGCACTAGTGTGAAATACTTACTTTCCGCACTAGTGTAGAGCGAGCGTAAAGTGAGTGTATTAAAGATAGTTGGTTGGGATGATTTGTGGTACTACAGCTGTCAGTAATTTTAGTGTGCTAAATATTTAGGTACTTTACGCACTAGTTTGAATATTTTACATACGCTACAGCGTGCGTAAATTTAGTACTTTACGCATGGTAGTAGAAAAAGTATGTGAGGGCTATCGGGTAAGTTGGATCTTTTTTCTCTGCACTTAACTTTTAACTTTAACTTTCTATTACCCCGGTAAATAGCCAATTATTCGTTTATGACACGTAGATTTATTTCAACCCATTTATATTTGAGGTAAACTCATAAATGAAAGGTTTAACCACGCTATAAATGTATTACTAATAAACCTACATTGTACACTTTTATGCTTGAGTTTTCCTCGAATAAGTTTACCGCCGTCATCCATAAGCAACGGTGATTTATAATTTCAACGTTATGTTTTATTTTTATTGTAGAAACGTATAATTCAAAATGTAGTGTTTATCTAAAGCTTTATGTTCAATAAAATTTTCTACTTTAACCGTTTATATTTTATTAGGTTGGCTACTTACCCGACCAATATGGAGGTTTATATATCACACAATGTAATATTTTCCCCATGCTATAACTACTCGAAGCCTTAAGTTTTGCTTTACATTATTTGTTACAAACAAATACATTTTAAAGTACATTAATAGGTAAATAATAAATTAAAGAGTTAAATCGAACAAACTTAGTCGTATTTTCAGGCATTCTAGAGCTGTATTGGAAATATTGCAATTTGAAGCGCTATTTTAATGTATTTTGATTCATTATAAACTTATTTTGATGTATTGCTATTATTTTGATGTATTCTAAAGACTGATGCATTTTGGTATGTTTCATCGCTGTTTTGATGTCCTTTGAAATATTCTAACATTATTCTAATGTATTTTGGTTTTCTAATAGGTTTCTTGATGGATTGAAATTATTTTGATGTATTTTGATGCATTCTAAAGCTATTTCGTGCGCTCTACAAATATTTTAACGTATCAAGTGTTGATGTATTTTATTGTATTCTGAAGCTGTTCTGTTTATAGAACTGTTTTGGCCTCTAAAATTATTTTATTGTTTTGTAACTATCTTGATGTATTTTTATATACTCTAAAGCTGTTTTGATGTATTCTAAAAGTATTTTGTGGTGTGCATTCTAAAGGTTTTCATGCGTTTTGTATGTTCCATTGCTGTTATTGATGTACTTGCAAATATTTTAAGACTATTTTGATGTATTTTCGTTCACTACAACGTTACTTTGTTGGATTAAAACTATTTTGATGTACTCCAAAGATGTTATGAAATATTATGAGGTATTTTCTTGTATTCTACAAACATTTTAATGTATCAAGTCGTGTTGATGTATTTTAATGTATTCTAAAGCTAAATTAATGTATTTTGGTGCAGCTTAAAATTATTTTAATATATTATGAAGTCATTTTGATGTATCTTGAAGCATGCACGAAAGCTGCTTGTTTAAAAGTATATTAAGGTATTTTAATATATTTTGATGTATTTTCAAGCCGGATAGACATATTTTAATGTATTTCTAAGACGTTTTGACGCACTGCATTCTAAAATGTTTTAATATATTTGGAAGTACATTTAGTTATTTTAACGTACTGTTGTTTTGTGGTACATTGTTTTGTTGTAGATAATTTGATATATTCTGAGAATATATTGTGGTATTTTGGTGCATTTTAATTCTAGGACATTTTGATATATCTTCAAGTTATTTTATATATTTCGGCTCATTATAAAGTTACTTTCATCTACTGCGACAAATTCGATGTACATTGATGCGTTCTGATTATTTCGAAGTAATTTTTGATGTATTCTGATGTATTTCAAAGCCGTTTTGATGTATGTTCTTATATTTTTTGGCACATTTTGATACCACAGAAGAAGTTACTTTGATGTATTGTAACTGTTTTGATGTACATATTTCCATGCTTTCTAAAGTTATTTTAACGTGTTTTAATGTATTCTGAAGTTCTTTAATGTATTCTGAACGTATTTTTTAATGTATTTTTAAGCCGTGTTGACGTATTTTGATGTATGCTAAAGCAGTTTTGAGCTATTTTGATGTATTCAAAAACTATTTCGATGTATTTTGTAATAGTTTAAAGTATTTTAATGAATTATTAACATATTTTGAGGTATATCGATGTATGCTGAATATATTTTAATATATTACGATGCTATTTCGTTACACATACTTTTGTATATTCTATAACTAATTTGAAGATATTTAATGATGATGTAGGCAATTTTGGTATACATTTTGACGTTATTGAGGAATATTTTGGTGTGTTTTGAAGATCAATACAGTTCAGATCAGTTCGAATCAATTCAGACCAAATCAGATTTGCAGTGTGAGATGGGCTTACTGATATGCAGAAGCAAATGCACTCTTTAAATTATACCTTTAATATCCTATGGATACAAAATTAAGTATTTCTTCAAGTATTTCTTGCCATAAAAGTTCCTAATTTTATCCCGACTACATTTTCAATTTTATTTGTACTGGTGGTGCCACCTAGAAGCTGGAGGGATAAGTTTAGAAGTATTAGTATCAGAGAACTACAATATAAGCATTTAAGTTTTATTAAATTCATGGTATAGATACAAGATGAAGCTCGGTGTGGAATATTGATAAATTAGCTACAGAAATTTTAAAGCAAAAAAGATAATATATGCTTACATGTATTAATTAATAGCCGTTTTTATTTACAAAAATTTGCGTTTAACTTATCCGTGAAAGAAAACACATTGAAAATAGTGTATGGACTTTTAAATTTCTAAATAGTTTTTTAACCTTCGACTCTTGTTCTTATCTGTGATTGTGGACAATATGAAATCGAAATCCAAGCCTACCGGATAATTAATTAACGAACGTCTACCTGTTTCAGCATCAGGTGGGATTTTTGATTTTTTATTCTTTTCTCTTACCTTGAATTCATATTAATTAAAAAAAATCGGGACAAATTAATTTAACCTGTCAGTGCCAAAAGTGTTGATAATTCTTGATGGATATGAATTAATTTATTCTTATCATAAATTATAAGTTGTCTACAAAACTAATTTTTGGGTAGACAAGTAGAGCATGTCATATTTAATGTAAGTATTTTTTTTTCGACATTTACGTTTTAGTAACACGAAATACATAATCCCTTATGTAATACTTGGAAAAAATGCATTAGGAACTGTTGTTTTAAAATATAATACTAGATTAGTCGGTGTTAATTTTTGATAATATCTAATTTTTTATTGTACATTTTAAAGCTGACCTACATGTTTGTTTCTTTCAAATCTGTCTATATGCAAACGTGTCTGAAACTAATGAATTTACACAATACGTTTGTTTTATTGAGCTGAAAATATAGAATTTAATATTACTGCTTATAAAATTGCCTGTACCTACAACAAATATTTCTAAATTTGTTCCATGCGCTATGAAACAAAAATTAAATTGAGTTGGGTGGAGTGAACAGAAATTTTGAAACGTTTTTTTTATGAAAATAATAACAATAATAAACAAAAATGTTACTTATTTGAATGGTTCCGATAAAAAAAGCTGATTAAAAATGTTTTTTTGTCCGTTTTAATATACAAAGTATGTGTATTGATCTTTGTTACTTAATTTCAATTTCACTTTTATGGATACCATAAAAAATATAGTTGTGAAACCGGTAGCACATTAGCTTATTAAAAATAGTATTTTCCCTTCACTGCTGCGATAATTAAAAAAATATCTTGATTACTTTTAATAGCAATTAGTTCACAATAAAAAAACTGTATTACATTTTGAAACAACAATTAAATGCAGTCGAGCAATGTATGTTTGCTTAGATATATTTAGCTTTCGATACATGAACGCTATACAGGGTGTCAACCAACACAAATAGTATATTTTACGCACTAGCTTCTACAATTAAATGATATATCACCGCAATTTATAATGCATTAGTGCGCTAATTATGTACATTACGCCCTAGTGCGTAAATACGTACAGTACGCAAAACTGCGTTAAATATGTACATTACGCACTAGTGCGTAAGTACTTGCAGTACGCACTATTCCGTTAAGTATTTACATTACGCACTAAACTTTGTATTTTACGCCTCGTTGTTGCAAATTTTACCCTTAGGGCTAAAAGATGTACTTTAATCCTTTAAAAGACACTATCTAAAATAAGAATTACCGTAGCAGTAAAGCCGCTTTATTTTTCTTTTTATGTCAGCCTGCCTCGTAAAATAAATATAAATCAAGTGGCCATAAAATTTTCAGGTATTCCCGAGATACGACATTCTCCCTCTTTGCCGACATTGTACCTGTCAATTTTTCCCGAGAAATAAAAATATTACAATAATAAAATAGTTTAAATGCAGTCGTGTCCCCAGCGAGTTTGTTTCATTAACAATCATTGACAATTATACGGTAGTTGTTACGTTACTGTTTTCTTAATGGTACCATTATCTTTTCTCATAATTATTTATTATTTAAAAGCACGCTTAAGGACTGCTTCTGCTAGGTGAATATATGTCTAGGCATTCGTATTTACATATCGGGTATACATAACAACAATAAATTTAATTGCAAATACCACCATTGCATGCAAGGCTCTCGGTCGGCAAAGTGAAGGGATTGCTTCTGAAAAATATACTTCACTTACAGGTCTGCAGGTGAGGTGACTAACAGCCTATTACCTAGACCGAGATACCAGCGTCGGACTCGCAAAATTTGTCCATGATAACACAAACATTATTTTATTTTATTGTTTTAAGATAACAGGTTTATTTTACTTACATCATAGAAGTGACTAACATTACCTAAAACAGACTTTTGTTTACTTGCTTAATATTGTAGTGAAACTTATTGAGAACCTCTGGAATTGTCGCCTAGAGACGAATGGCTGTGGCCGTAGATAGGACGCCGAATCATTTATTTTCTTGGATTCGTACTTATAACCGTATTTTCTTATTAGATATACTAAAACAGACGTTAATACAATGAATTGTGCTGGTGATAACATATGGAGCCACAGCGGTTCCAAAAATGTTTGTTCATATTATTATGGCAAGAAAAAACTATTCGGATCTTCGCTATTCCATTTATTTACTGCTCAAATATCTTCGACCTTTATAACTGCAGTTATCAGTTACTTATTGAAAGGCACCCATTAAGAAAAGTAATAGAAATGTTGTGATGTTATGTTAAATAAAACACACTAGTGCATAAAGCATTTCATTTTAACACCAGTGTTTAAAGTGTCACTTGCACTAGTGTGTAAAATATTTACTGTATGCACTAGTGGTTTTACGCGTAATTCTAATTTTAAACCTACAAAAGAATAACTCGTTACGTTTATTTTAAATTAAACTCACTAGTGCATAAAGCACTTCATTTTACGCACTAGTGTCTAAAATGAATTAAAGCAATAGAGTAATTATTACTGGTTATGTCGCTACTTGTATCAGCAACCAACTTTTTAATATTAAAATTAAAAGTACATCTGAATCAACTTTGGATATGACATTCATGATTCGAATCAGCTTTAGTTATATTTATATGAAATTTGTACTAGTGTGTACTAATGTACAAAAGCGTGAATTTAGTACTTTACGCACAGTAGTTGGAAAATTCTAGTTTTGAGCCTGCAGAAAATGATCCGCTACTTGCAATAGGCCCTCTGAAGGAATATTTCGAGGCCGGATCTGTAGACACTGCACTGCAAAGAGACAGTCTTAATATGATTCTATATAAGATCTCTTGTATTCTATCAAGGTAATTATTTGTTGTACTGTCGTGGAGCATTTTATACAAGGTAAACAATGTGTATCAGTTGAATAAGAACCGTGCAATTTCGTCGGAATTGTTTGATGAAGTGCTGTAGTTTTAGCTGGTGTGGACAGTTGCGGTAACTTTGATTAGTGAAGGAGTGTTCCGATTTGTGAAGATGACTGGAAAACTGTCTGGTTTGTGCTCTCATTTTTACTGCTAATATAAGATTATAAAAAAATATTTTGTGTTACTGACTTTTAATAATAAATGCTAACAGTTACGAATAAAGTAATACTTTCATTAAAATATAAAATTTTTGGTAGTAATATGTATTTTCCGAAGCTAATGTTAATCTAAAAATACTTGTGTATACTGCAATTTATTAGAAATTGAATGATATTTTACACCACTCAGAAAACGCCCTTACCAAATTCTACAAAAATCTAGTTACTTCTAAATTACATAGACAAAAAAAAGTTGTAACTGTTCCTGATATTTTAACAGTAATCATTTTTTCTCAATTAATGTCGAAAGAAAGAGCAACTTTGGACTTTAGTAGAAATAATTACAGTTTTTTTGAGACACACATTTAATCTTTAATAATTGAAAAAAAATCGTAGTAGGCCAAGAGAATGGAAGAATAACTTAAAAAAATTGTAGCGGGCTCAAGATTTGCCCGATTTTAAGGAAGTTATAATTTCCAAATTCATTGAACTTCACTTCTATTAATAACTTTTTTTCCAAAACTTCTAATAACTTTTACAGCTGTTGAGATATCGCTTTCAAGTTCGATATGAAAAAAATTGGAAAGAAAATGAATTTTATAGTTCTATATTTCTAATAGAATAGAATTTTTTACTACAAAAAAATTCTGCTAGAATACCCAAATTGTATAGGCTTTTTATGAATTTTATTTCCGGATAACTGTCAATTTGACAGTCTGGCAGCGAGTTGACAACTAGTACTACAGCTGTTAGTATTATCACTGGAACAAACTGATATACACATAATTTATTTGTTACACTAGTACGTAAAGTACTTACGCATTAGTGCAAAAAGTACGCATTAGCGAAACGTACGTGCACACTAATGCAGAAAAGTATTTGCACAAAGGTACGAAAAGCTTTTACGCACTAGTATGAAAAGTCTTTACGCGTTAGTGTATAAAGTGTTTACGCGTTAGTGTGAAATATATTTTCGCACTAGGAAGAGTTACGTTAATCTATTTTATTGCAAATTGCAACAATTTTTATTTCTTTTTGTTGAATTGCATTAGTTTCAAAGTAAATTATAAGGCGTCTTTTTACTATTTTTTTGTCGTCTCCTTGACAATTTGGGGAGATAAAATGAACTATCCAAATAGTGTCAGACAGCAAAAAGTTGCCGAAGAGAACGTTACCCATACTGACATAAATTAGCATCATCGATTGTGACATTAATGCGAGAATTTTAAGTGGATTCTGAGCCAGATCCATAGTAAGCCGATTACCAATCATTGTACCATTGTGTCGAAACAAAAAAGTTCGCAATGTTTTCGATCAAGTCATCCTTGAGACTAATTGGCGTAAACAGGAAGCGTTTTAACTTTTTGTTTAACTGGAGCGTGAGAAGACCGCCCAAATCTGACAGACCTTTTATTCATTAAAGTTATCGACACAAAGATATAAACTCGAAAAAAAATTATTCCGAATCTTTTTTGTAAAAAAAACACAGAGGATTCTAATAACACTAATTATTGATTATTTATGGTATTATATTAAACTAAATAAGTCGTGAGTCCATTCGATTGACTAAACTGATTAAAGATAAACACTAGTGTACTATTGTGTCATTAATGTGCAAAATATTTACTTTATACACTAGTTTGAGAATGTTAAATTAAATACTGTACAATGTGTGTAGTGTTCTTTACGCACTAATTATCTTAGAGATTAAAGATAGACACTAGTGTACTATTGTGTCATTAGTATGTAAAATATTTACTTTATACACTAGTGTGACAAAGTTAAATTTTACATACTGTACAATGTGCGTAGTGTTCTTTACGCACAATTATCTTAGAGATTAAAGATAAACGCTAGTGTACCATTGTGCCATTAGTGTGCAAAATATTTACTTTATACACTAGTGTGAGAAAGTTAAATTTTACATACTGTACTATGTGCGTAGTGTTCTTTACGCACTGATCTTTCTTGCAGTCTGTCATTTTCACTAGTGCAATTTTCTCATGCGTCAAGAAAGTACTTTACACTTGAATTGCAATATTTTTTCTACTGCCGAAAAATATATATCATAAATTAAATTATTTTACACCAATTAATTTTAAGCACTAGTGACTTCTGTTACTAGGGGCTAAAATATTTATTTTATACACTAGTGAGGAAGTACAATTTTACGCATAGTACAACGTACTTTACGCACTCGCTTTTCTTGCAGTAGCTTTTATGATCTCAATAGTGCATTCAATTTAATTTTATTACTGGATTTTTCGAAGTAGTGTGGAAATATTTACTTTACGCACAAGTGTGTGGAATAATTACTTTACGCATTATTTTCTGAAAAAATCTTATTTTTTCAAAAATTGCTCAAATACGTCGATAAGGTTCCGTTCATTAAAATGCAGCAACCTCGTAATCAATCGTGACAACGCATTTTCAGATAAATACGAAACACAGACTGACAAGTTTTTATTTTCATGGATAACGAGAATTCGAAATCACCAAAACCTCGAATCGAAACAAAGGTTATAAAAATCCATCAATCACGTCCCAGAGAACTGGAAATAATTCATTTAGTAGAAACATTCGTTTTTATACAGAGTGTCTCATATTAAGCTCCAATGCACATATCTAACAATTATTTTAAAATTCGTGATAGTAATTTAACTAAATCAATTATCTCGACGAGGAATAAAAATTATTTTATTTAAAATGTACTAAATTTGAAAAATAACTTTTGGCAAAATATTAATTAGAAAAAATAACTCTGAGGCTCTGCAACTCCGTTAATATTGAGTTTTCGTAAAAATATAATGAATTCGTAACATTTTTTTGCGTAAATCTGATCCTTCGAAATAGTTTGAAAGTAAGTGTGGAATAGAATCTCAAATATGTGCAGCAAAGCCCAACACAGCGACAATAGAAATATATAGAATATTTCTATGCGCAAGTTCAACAAGACCAGAAGCTTTTTCTAGACAGGCTTATTTGCATAATGTTATTGATAGGTTAAGCCAAAAGCCCTTGAATTCTATATGCTCTGATAACAACAAACCGCCTTCATTACATTGCTGTCTATTAAGCTACGTATACGTTATGAATATTAAACAGAATTCCCGTTTATTTATTTGCAATTTTTAATTGCGAACTGAAATAAAAAAGCAAAGTAACCACAAAACTACATTTTCGTGTTTACATTGATAGAAAAACAATTAAGCTTTGATTGTTAAAATATTGCTATTAATCTTCAAATCACGACTGGCTCGTTCATTCATAAAAAAATTACATAACACGAGCATAAATTAATGTTAATTATATTCTCATCTATTTTCTTTGCCCTCAGTTCTAGCGCGTATTAAAGTCCTCGGTCTGATTCATGGATTTAATCAATTCCATAGATTTACATATATACTTGTTAAATATTTTAATGGGAGCAAAAAAAATGGTAGGTGTTCTACTGGATTCGTTTTATTTTAGTCCAGCCACACCCAACAATAATTTGTAATGTGAATCAGTTTCTTTAGATTACGATCGAAGCTGTTATAAGCAACATGTACGGATTTTTTGCCGCGTCCACTTTTTATCAGGCTTCCTTGTATTGCTTGTGGTTCGCTAATTTTTTCCGGTGGTATTCGCCGGTGTACAGGGTGGCACATAATAAAGTCAGAGAAGAATCGGAGATTATTAAAATAAGCGGTTTTCTGTTCTCCCTTGCCTTCCTTCTGCTTACGTCTCTTTTTATTCGTTCTCATCTTCCTGTTGTCCTTTTACAGACTGGTTCTATGGTTATTTTGACGTCGCAAGTAAAATTACCTGAGTAAAGTATATAATTGTTGTCACCGCCGTTCCTGGTTGTAAAAATTCGAAATATTTGGGATTATTCAAATTTCGTGGCTGAAAACATACATAGGTATTGTATTTTTGAAACCTAGAGAGTTGCTCGAAACTAAATTTGTACAGAACATAGCTAATACAATGCGAAACATCGCCTTAATGTTAAAAATGTTACACTTTTTATGTAATTCGACGATAATTCCAAGTATTACTTTTACTTGCATGAATTGAATTGGGGTAATTCAAGCTTCTTTGAAAATACAAGGAAATACTCCTTCAGAAACTGGCTTATTCAATATCAGTTAAAAAGAATGACAGAGATTTGATAAAAATTTCTGATAACCCATCTGGTCCAGATTCTATACTTCCAATTTACTTGTTCTTTAATTTGAGCAGTGCTGGTATAATTAATGTCTGTTAAAGACATACAGGAATCCTTAGATGTTTCAGCGCTTGAGTTAACGATGGTTCATAAACACTACCAAAATAATCCAAGAAGGTGTTAGCAAGGTCTTTATCGTTCCTAAAAAAAATTCTCCTGAGTTAGCACTAGATATGTGGTAAGGAATTTAAGATTATCGCAAAGCTTCGCATAGCAAGTACTACGTCATAAAGTATTGCTTTTCTCTCACAGAACAGAAATGCTCAACATTTCTGTCTGAATTTTTAAAATACCCACCTCACAAAGACGCCTTAGACACCTTGTATGTCAGGGTCTGGAGTAAACGTGTAAACATTCAGCTAAAAATATATTACTTGATTAAATCAGTACCAACAAAAAATAGCGATATTATCGATATAAATCCATTCGCAGTTAATTTTCGAGAAACGCCAGCAATATCAATTTTATTTCGACTGGATGCGGAAATGTGATAAGGAAAACGTATTTTTTTCTAATGACAGTTACATTCCACCTTCTGATAACGTGGCAACAACTAAACAACTCATTACGAATACAAGTAAATGGGTGTTGCAATTTTTTTTTATACAAAGGTTAAATTTGTCAGACCTTGTCGTGTATAAATATGATGACAAATATGATAATGGTGATAAATTGGTTTATAAATATAAATGTAAATATGTGTGAGCTCTGCTATGGCGCTTTAAAGAGCTGGTTACCGTAGTCGGGTTGAGGTTAGAATTATATTTTTGCAAACTCATGTCGTTTTTTTGACACACAGAAATTTTGCTGATCAACAATAATAAATAGGGAGTGATCGTTATCTAATAATGTGGTATTACATAATTGGCAAAAGCAAAAAAACTGTTACCTTTGTTTATTTCTAATTTGTGATAATGGTATTTATGATAATGTCTGTTTCCATTCAAGACCTTTACTTTTTATGGCTTTTTTATTTTTTTATAGCTGCCCAGTAGGTTGTTTCTGTTTCTAAATCATTACAAATTACCAATGTCATATATTATTAACAAATCACGTATTAGGTATGTACAGGGTGATTCACTATATTTTGACTTTTTTTTTAAGAGTTGTAAAAAACTGAAATACAAAAGTTACACGATTTTTTATGAAGTTTTCGAAAATGATTGTAGAAAAACAAATGAAGTCCAAACAAATTGGCCGCGGATGTTAACTTTGTTAATTTAAATAGAACACCCTGTATATTTTAACATATTTGGATAGAACGTTCCCTGTCCAGCATAGTCATAGAGGGTTTGTTGGATCCACCTCTAACAATAAGCGAGATGATATTTATTAAAAAACGAAAAGTTATTCTTCATATTCTAAATACAATGGAGTAAATGCCATAGACATCGTGGTCGGCTTGTAAACAGTCATACGGAGTGTATAAAAATTTGAAAACTGTAGAACTGTAGAACTGTCTACAGCTACTGAAAATGCAGGATGAAGAAGAGAGAAACTCGCCCAAAACTGACAAGCTATTATCGGAAGCATCAGTCGAAGTTCAAAATAAAAAAAGGATGAAATTGTTTGCAGATGAAGAAAAATCGTTGTCTGCTGATAGTGCATTAGCATTAATGATCGATGTCACCTTTCAACACATCAATATATATGTTGAAATTGGTATTTCATGCCAAGTAGCGTGGATAAAATTCTATTAATAAAAACTTGCATATATCGAGGAGGAATAAAGTGCCGTTTGATTGTTAAAATATCACGCTTAAGAAAAAGTTAGTTTCCACAACGGAATTTGAGAAAATGAACAAAGATAGTCTCCATATAATCTGACCCCATTCGTACCTACAGCCTGTACAGTAATTTAGTTACGAAAGCTATAAATAATAACCAAAATAAAATTACTGTTATTAAAACCTTGGAGTAAAAATGCAATGCGTGATTCTCTCATCCAATTCTCTACATTTTTTGTATGTTTTCCTTTCGCCAGGTATTCACCAAAACACCCACGCGAAAACGTGAATCACGATCTTCAATATTTACCACTCTTTCGATTCTAACATTTAATTTGTTATAACAATATACCGAAGTCGTGAGATGTAGAACAGTAACGTTCAAGCGGCAGCCATGAGAACAATCGCCTTGAATTAGAACGTTGGTATGGTCTTGCGTAATGTATCATTAAAAGATGTTTCTATAAGTCTGCGTAATCCAAGGGTACACGTACTACTTGCAGCGTACAGTGTTGCCACCCAAATTTACAGATTTAAAAAATATGAATAAATATTAATGCATCGCCTTCACTGACATTACTTTATGGACATATTTTGTACTTTGACATTATTTTTCGTTATAGTTTGATCGAAACCACAAATACGACCTTTAAGGAATAGTCCACAACTTTCCCTAGAATAGAGAAATTTTACTAGACTTGGCAACCTCGGCAGCAGAGTCGCAGAACGGAAATGATAACCGAACGAAACAGGGTTCCCACTCTATCCGATGACCTACACAGGTGAACACGAGTAGGTGTGGCATTTCAAAAAAAAGGTTGCTTTCAGGCGGCATAAGGCTGGAGAGACAAAAAAACATTATAATAAATATTTAACAATTACTGTTGTATTAAAATATACTAAAGTTTAAGGTCATGTGCAACATGCAGCGGTTTCGGTGTTGGCCACTTTCCTTTTCAATGATGATTTCTCATGTTTATCGCACTCATTAATCACCTAATTAAAATTTAAATGCCACATTACTTGATTGTATTATGTCTATCTTATCGCTGTTTACAAGCAATTAAAACGTTTTTTATAACTGATATTAACGAATTCCAATCCTTAACATTGCCCAAAGAAATAAAATCAAGCCTAATTAAATTAGACATGTTAATTTATAATTTCTTTGTAATAAAATGTCCGGGGGGGGGGGGGGTGAGATTTCTTTTCTGAGGTACTGAAAACAACATTTATACTTCGAATGGGGGTCATATATTTAAAAGCACTTATAAGTTTAACTTCTCATATCCCGTCGTGAAAACTGGATTTTTTTAACCTTACTGTAACCTCAAATAATCGCACGCGCTAGTCTCACGCGCATAACCAATTGAAAGCAACAGCAGCATTGTTGTCAAGTCTTACCTAGTACTCTATTGTATCACATCAGGTGGATTGATATTATGTACCAAAACTAGGTCAATATCAGAGGTCATTAACCCTGAGATTCGCAATATAAACACAGTGCTTTAGTAAGATGGATAATTTTATACATTTGGTTAAAAAATGTAGCAACTGGCAACACTGATAAGCGCGCACATACAACCGAGAATATTTAAAATAAATTAATCTTCTGAGAAGCACTTAAATTGACACCCTGTGTGTTTATATTTGCAAAAACTAATAATATTTGAAAAATTAAATTAATTAAACTAAAAGAAAATTTGGAAATGTAGTCACAACAAAATTCAATTACCACTAGATATAGTTTCAATTCCAAAAATATGGCAACATTATTAAAATTTAAACATAATGAGATCACGACATACATATACAGTGTTAGGTAGTCCAAGTTTGGCATTTTATTTTCTGACATATTTCATCCGGAACTTTCCATTGTTTATTTCAATTGACCATCATCTTGCTTGATGTTGCAATAGTATTCAAAACACTTGCGCAATATTTCAGCTATTTAAAGACGTGAAAGATGCTTCGCCTATGTTCATTGCCTATAGGAACCTTTGTTACTTCATTTCTAGAGCCTTTAGGATAATAATTTACGTTAATATCGTTGTACATGCATAATGAAGTTGTATTAAATGACCCACATTGTTAATTGATTTACGGTTCTGTCTATGACATATTTATAAACAAATGTTGCGCAAATTTGGAATTACATATTCACACATACTTCACGGTACTTTGAATTCAATGACTTACAGATAATTTTTTATTCGGACTACAACTAAATTTGATTTCAATAGTACTTATTTTTTTAAGGTAATACTACAAGTTGCTGATAAATTCATAATCCATCAGTCTTATTACTAATACGTAAAATATGTCGGAAGTAGAAAAAACATTGTATACAAGTGTGCGTAAAGTACATTCATCCATTGGTAAAAATAGTGAAACTTACATAAATATTTTGAGTATTTAGTTAAAATTAATCTTAATATTAATTTGTGTATCGAGTAATAGAAGTTCATGGTCCACTAATTTACAATTTACTATTTTAGAAATAAAAAAAATTGTCTGCAAAAGGATTTTGTACGAAGATAATTTTTTTGTCCAGTATACTTTTACAATGAACTAAAATTTTCAATCTTGTCAAGTACGTCAATGATTCATACAGCTATAAAACTTGATTGCTATTATCTCCCTGGAAGCAACGGCTTGTTTATACATACTTCTAGAAGAGCGACATACTGGTGTTATAAAGTAAATTTTAACATAATTCCATTTGCTAGTTGTAAAACAAATTTTCACAGTTTCAGCCAAGGAAGTCCATTACTCGGTAATGTGGCTATTTGACATAGTTTTTGCAGTATTTAAAATTATTAAATCGATCCCTTATCCAATGTATATAGACAGATTGCCGCAGCTAATTAAATTAATTAAAACCCGTTCTTTTCAAATGTACATCTATTGAACACTAAGTTATTTGAGTCATCAGGTAGTAACATAAGTACGTTGTGCACTAGTGTGTAAAATAATTGTTTATATTGTTTTTAAACCTACTGTTTCATAGCAGTAAGTTAAATCTAATCTAACTTTTTCGCATTAGTTCAGTCACTACTGCGTAAAATAAGTACTTTACGCATTGGTGTATAAAACATATTATTTACAAATTATGTACATACTGTGCTATGACAGTCAACTTTTCCACACTAGTTGAGTCACCAGTGTCTAACTTAAGTATTTTACGCACTAAGAGGTATAAAATAGATTGCTTGCAAATAATTTGTATACAATACTTCAACAGTAAGTAAAAACTAATATAACTTTTTCGGGCTAGTTGAGTCACTACTGTCTAAAATGAAGTACTTTACGCATTAAGGTGTAAAATAGATTATTTATATGTAATTTTCATACTATAATGTAACAGTAAGTAGAATCTAATCTAACTTGTTGTGCGTAATAGTTGAGTATTGGTGCGTAATATGTAGTACTTTACGCACTAAGGTGTAAAATATGTTGTTTACAAGGAAGTTTATAGGGTACTGTAACTGTAAGTGAAACCTAATTTAACTTTTTCGTACTAGTTAAGTCACTGGTGCGTAAAGTAAGTACTTTACGCGTTGGGGGGTGTAAAATACATTATCTTGTCTAGAACCATATCTTAATGTTTTCTCAAGTTCTTACCGAGATTTTTGCAATAATTAATAGGTACAAAGTTGTGCGTTCTCAGTACTAGCATAACTTGCTTGATCATATTCAAGATTGAACTCAACAAGACCAAAGTGCTTAATTGATTTGTGGTTTGCTGCTTGTATTGTTGATAAAAGAGATACAGACTGCTTCTAACGATGTCCCTTTTTTTCAGATACTATCTACATCGTTGTTATATCGCTGGCCTTAGCGTCTCTATGTGAAAGTGCCCGGAAGTCACCAAGGATATACAACGTGCTGATCAGTACAAAGAAGAATCTAGCTCCTAGTCAAGCCTTACCGGTCTATGAACCAGTACTTAGAACTACTTCCGTTGGATTAGCCTTTTCACCTTTAATTTACACACCCATCAGTACCATCCAGAGTTCCCCTACCAGATACGTAAGTTTCCTTACGGATGGATTCCTAAGATGTTTACAATTTTTTTTTAACGTTGAATCACTCATTTTGGGTTCAGGGAATTTTGTTGTAAAACAATGAAGAATTTTAGTTACCTGAACGGATTTTAAGCGAAGTTGGGTGGCAAAAAATTGTTTTTAACTAATTTCCGTCAAGTTACGGTGGTGTATTAGATATTCACGATTTTTTACGCTTAAAGGAAGGTTCATTAATTGTTTAATAACAGACATTTTTATGGGACATTTACTTCTGTTCTTGGTCATAGTACAAGAAGGAATAAATTCAGTGACAGCTAACTGGTTACAGACCTAGACTATGAAAGAAAAGAAAAAAATATTGTTGAGGTTGATTTTTGCATCCAAATATTTTAAATGATTTTGAGATATTCGCTAAGTAGTTTTTGTTCAAGGGTCAATAATTTTGGAACCTACCTTCTTGACATTTCGTATCTTTGGATAATAAAAAAATAATACTTTCAACTCGCGTATAAAGTACCATCTTTTTACACTAATGGAATAAAATTCCTACTTGGTACAGGGAAAAAAATCGTTATTATATATTTTATTTCCACAGGTTCATGAAGGTCCAGTGGTGCAGGATATAATAGGCAATCAAAATCAGCCTTCAGAACAACCCAAACAATCCTTTGCAGAAACGGAACAAAACGTGAGTATCTTAAAGTAGATTTATGAGAAATTTATTTTAATTACATTCACATTGGGAATCCTAACATATTTTATTATGCTGTTTAGTTGACATTGCCAGTAACGGCCAATAATAGCAAATACACATATTTTATCTTTTATTTGATGCCCAGTAAGTTGGTCATACAAAAGTAATACTCGAAGAACGATATTCGCAAACACCTCATTTTTTAAAGATCTGGAGGACAAACTGATTTCAGATTCGTGATAAGCGGTTCCGAAGCGATAACAGAGTCTCCATCAAAAGAACAAGCCATTAGTTTGTGTGACTGTGTAAAAATGAGGTGTAGCGGCAAGAATTTGGGTATATATTGTAGAATATCTCTAATGTCTGTACTTTGATATATAATTTACTGACCACTGACTACATTTTCGTATTTTCAGATTGAGGCAAGATCAAATCAACTGCAGCCAGCGTCAACGGGTGGCATTAAGAATTTGCCTCAGAATGTGGTACCCCTGCAACAGTATATCCCGTATTACACTTCACCTCAGTTGACTTATGAACCCTACTATCCGAAGCCAGAGCAGAAAGTACAAGAAAACATACCAACGAAAGCGCTGGAAGAGTATTTAGAGAATGTTAACGACCCTAAACAAATAATCGCCAATTTAAAGAAGAACTCCGATATTCCAGATGTACCCCCACCACCTTTACCTGTTAGGAATTTATAATAGTTATAAATAAATTTACAAAAAGTTTTTTTTTTCTTTAATTTATATACATTTTGGCAAAAATTATTTTGATTAGTGTTTTAATTTTTTTCGGGTGGCAAAACCCCAAATAAATACAGAGATCTGATAAAAAAAATAAGAGCTCGAACTATGGAAGCTTCAAAAGTAGCCTGGAGTAACTACCCATAAGTAGGTACTCCAATTTCGTTGCAACCCAAAATATTTTTGTACATTTGAATTATAATTTCATTATAATTTTTAGTGCTACAAGTAGATTCCTCTATATCAATACATTGATTTACAAATTTACAATTTACAAAGAACAAGCTCTAGTAGCGATTAGATGGCGCTAGTGCTGCTACTCATCGCTATAGCAATAAGTGGCGCAAAATACAAAATTTAATATCAAAGTCTGTATATTTTTAAATCTATCTAAAACTTTTTAGCGTGTAAATCATACTTTACTATTAGAAAATGTAGATGTGGGAATCACAGGAATTGCACTCAATTTAATTCAGAGTTGTTTAACAGGGCAATGTCGTAAGGAGTAATTTTGCATTATGGAATACCGCAAGGGTAAATACTTGGCCCAATTTTATTTATAATTCGCATATAGGGTATGGTATAATTGGAGGAGGGCGGGTAAGGAATATATATTTAAAATAAATTAGAATAAACACGCAAGAGGATTATGAAAATTATGTATAATAAAGCATATGTCTATCCAACTGATTTCTTCTACAAAGAAACATCAATTATGGATCTAAGTCAAATATTTTTCCTCGTGGTCAATTATCAGCATTCTAAAATAAAGATGTTTTTGCAGCATGAATATAATAGGTACTAGAAATACAAGTAGGTACCTACTCATGCGGTTCTTGCACCAAAAGTTTATAATTATTTAGGTACCTGAAGGGATAAGGAATAGTGTTACTAAAAAATCATTCAAAGGGATTTTATGAAACAAACCTGCAGAAATGAAATTCACTAGATTAAAAACAGTACTCTTTTAGTGTGACGTCACATATTTAGGCAACTCGCAACAAATTGTCATAGTACCGAATCTGACCCGTGTGTATTATTTACACAGATATTTTAAAAATGAATAACTTCAAATAAATTTATTTTTACAAGGATTTAGACGTATTTAAGAACATCCAACACGTGTTTGGTAAAATAAATACACTAATGTGCTTAAAACTTACAAAAAACGATATAAAAGAATATTTCTAAATTTAAATAAAGTAAAAATTTAACTTTAGCCGTGTTATTCCTAATGCGCATGATCAGAAAGAATATCCTCATACTCAAGTCAGATCTTGTTGATATGTCATCACTGTCATCATTCGCATATTTTCTCTTCTTTTGTGTAATCTTGGCATTTTCTAGTTCTACCACATATTACTAACTTCTACTAAGTATTTTTTGTTTTTCTTGGTGCTGTACTGTATCAGTGTCTTTATCGAGTGTTTTTTCTTCAAGTGGTTTGTTGTAGACGTACTCTTAACCAATACCTACCAAACTTTTCGTGAATGATAATAATGATATCCTGTTACGAGATTACTTCGCTTACATGAAATTATATTTAATGCGCATGCTCAGTAACATTGATATAATTTTAATTTATTAATTACTATAAAAGTCAATATTGTTCTATAAATTTAAATATATAAATTCTATAATTCTTTTAGTCTGTCACTTGGGGTTCGAAACTTCTTAAATATTTCTAATATTGCCAGAATATCGCAATATTTAAGGTCATGACAAAGAAGACATTTTTTTGGAACTTATGTCCAAAGTATATAAGGTTGTCTATTATTTGGCGTATGTGACGTCACTACTAAAAAGGTTATGGGACGACACGAGTTTTATAATATAGACGCCATCTAGTAGTTTCCTATCAAAGTTCGACTGGTTGTTTAACTGCTACAGTGGCGCCATCTTCCATGCCATAGATGCCAAAGTTTAATATTTAATGTTGAGGTTGCTAGGAAACTTGAATTAAAAAAAATAAACAAATAACTCAAACTCCAGTAATTTTATTTACAAACACTCCATACAAAACTTAATCGTTAGCACTATATTTTCTATGCAAACACTCTCAACACAATCGCAAATGTTATCGAAACATGTGATAAGGGCAATAATTGCATTCTTGTGTTGTTAGACTGTTCTAAAGCTTTCAATACTATTAACCATGATGTAGTGTGTTAAATTTTTAGGGCTTTTCTGATGAGTCGGTTTTAATTAGTTATTACCTTAACGGACGTACTCAAAAAATGTATACCTAGTAACAATAGCTTCTCTAATAGTTTTGATATTACCACAGGAGTACCACAGGGCTCAGAGTTAGGACCTTTGCCATTTTTAATATATACTTGCAATATCCTCGTGTTTAAAAAATTGTAAGATTCAGGCTTACGCCGACTATACCCAGCTATATTTTGATTTTCATAACACCCATTATCTTCATGCAGCAGAAGTTATTAACATTAACGTATAAAATTTACAGTTACTGTGTATAAGATAATTTTAACATTCAATTGAGTAATTTATGCTTACCTTTTGTGTATTCAACCAACAATTGGGACTTTCGTTATAGAAACTAAGTCAAAAATTTATAAAAAAAATCTTTTACCACATTAATCTTCTGTATTCCAACAGACATATTTAAATTATCTTTAAAAAAACAACTTTTCAAAATTATTAACGACCCTTCCTCCCCTCTCTATGATAGAGATAAATTTGATACTAGATATAATATTTATGATATTCATATACGTGGTGGACACAAAACTATTCCATACCAAGGGCGTCGCCAAGGGGGGCAGGGGAGGTCAGTTGCCCCCCGTAGAAATTCGAAAAAAGTACAAAAATTTTCTTAAACCAAGACAATATTGGAAATTTTTATTAAAATATTTTATTTAATTAAACTAATTTTGAAAATAAAAAAAATGTCGCGCGACGAGACTCGAACCAGTGATCTCGTGACTGTCGAAACCAAACACCACCCACCAAGCCACGCTTGCAGTTGAAGAATGTGTGGCATCTAATAATGGATTTAGCTAACAGGTTAAACTTCAAAATCGATTATCTCGGTAATTTATGAACGTTGCGTCGAACTACTTCAGAAAATTCTTATTCAAGGTCCAAACTACACGTACCATAAATATCAGAAATTATAAAAATCCGATTACCTTGCTTTCTCCTTGTCAGGATGAAATATGTATTTCTTTATGTTACATTTTTTTACAGTAATAAAGGCCATTAGTATTATATGCCGCCCCCTCTCCCACATAAGTCTCGGACTTCTGGGTTAATGCTTGCGATTAGAATGAGGGGTAGCGACATTATTATTATTTTAATAGATTCTAGCTTTATCTTTGGAAAAGTTTTATAAGTTTATAAAATATAGCTTATATACTTTTCTTGTGATTTGATTAACAACAGTAAACAATCAAACTATGAACAAGAACAAAATTGGCGAATATAAAATGGAATTTTAAATTTTATTCCAAAATTGAAAAATTAACAACATAAATTGCATATGTATATGACCAGATACGCAGACCTATTCGCAAAATGAAAATTCTTTAGATCATGTTAAATTCCTCAAAAAAATTAATACCACCAAGTGATGTATTTAACAACAATTTTTCTGTATTTTTTTATCGTCAGAAGACATTATTTTTCCTATTGTTGCGTCAATCGTATCCATATTCAATAATTTTGTCTTCGTCATAACATCGACTTCAATTCCACCTAAATTTAATTATTTAAAGGATTTTCCGGTGACTTTTGCCACTCCTTGAATATCATCTGCTTCAGTTGAGACAATCTTAGACTCGGATTCTCAATTTTCAGTTCCTGAAGTCTTCTTTCCTCGAACGCATTGTACGCGGCCTTCATTCTCTTCTCGGGGTGTTTGTCGGCATCCTCTGCTTTCGAACTATAAAGTGGAGACACGTTACGGAGCTTTCATCTCACGATATGTCTACTAAAATCTTACCTTAGTACAGAAATGGCCTCATCAATAGTCCTTGCTTCTTCACCATCAATCTCAAGCCTGTTCAGGTTTTCTACCAACGGAACGTCCAAATGTGTCTCGATTTTCTTTTCTTCCTTCTCTTTAACTTTGGTTTCTGTTGTAACCTTAGCAGATATCTGAGCTCTGGTAACCTTTACAGGTGGTGGAACTTTCAACGTTTTCTTCACTGCTTCACCAGTTTCTTTCTCTAGCAAAGCTTTTGCTTCAGCCTTTCGCTGTAGCGCTTCCTGTCGTTTTCTCTCCTCAGCTTCCTATAAAATACGTATTTGTTTTTAAGTTCGCTTTCTATAGGAAATTACCAGTAAACCTTTTTCTGCTGCTTCTTTTGTATCTGTTTGTCATCGTCCTTCCAATAAGCATCTTCTACTTCTTTTTGCTTCTTGGAGGCAGCTTCATCTTTTGCTTGCTTTTTCCTCTCTCGGGCCGTTACGGCTTTGGTATTTTCAGTAGCGAATTTTTTGGGCATTTTTCTGGAATCTAACCTAACATATCATGACAACTTGTAAACGTCAGTCATACGGGTCATATCATAGAAGCACAGAACATTTAGGAAAAAGAATTCCCACAAATACAAACCACCAAGTAGTGGCGCCACCTAGTTGTCAGGCAGAGAATTACATTTCGCACAGAAACTTCAGAATTAAAATACTAGAATTCTATTTGTTTTTAAGAAATATTTTATCAAATAAAAATAGGTTTACATATTAAATTCGAGAGAGAAAGTTAAAGAAAATGCAACAGATTATTTTTTTATATATAGCAAATTAAGAAGTTAATAATGATTGAAACTAAAATATTACTTAAGTTAAATATAAATCGAATATATTTAATATTAAGGAAATGTTAATAGGTTACATAAATATGTAGATTAGATATTACAAAATAAGAAAACCATTGTTTAAAACCCCATTAAATGCCTTAAATTTCTGCTTGTCTGCAAATAAAAAATGATTTTTACTGGAACATTTCTTCCTATACAGGGTGTATTTAAATGAAAGAATACAAATAATGCTACCTTGATCTATGTCTTACAAAATGTAACGTACATTCGGAGTTAGAAAGTAATTTAGTATCTATATTGGTTAAAGCCGGACACGTAGTATCAAGCCAGTTTAAAAAAGTGAATGCTCGAGATGTATTTGTACTATAAAAGAAAAATTACCACAAACGTGATTGCATGTTTATTATTATAATTCTTGGTTACCGGTTGAGTACCTAGTAGTTAACTTTATTGTTTAATGTTAAAAGTATTTTATTGTTGTATTACGGCACTGAATACTTCTCACTGCTTTCCATATTAAAAATAAACCAAGGCAGTTAACAAATATTGCTAAAAATAAATTCAATATAATCAAATCATAATGGTTAAATATAAAGCTGGGGTTTCTCCATGAAAGTGATTTTAAACTAATAGCTTTGTTCGCACAGCCATTCAAACCAGTTTGGGATTAGTCAGAAGCAATCGTCTAGCTACTTCTTTTATACTGTGATTGTGAGAAATAGCCTTAGATTAGGAAAGTCCTAATCTAAGGAAATAGCAAAGAAAGTAGATGGACGCCTGCTTCTGACTGATCCTGAACTGGTTTGAACAGCTGCGAGAACAAAGCTAATATCATCGTTCACTTCCTTCATCGTTCTTGTGAAATGTCATAATCATAATATAATAAAGAGTTATGCTTACACAACTTGTTAATGTTATTTTATGTTGAAAAAATAAGAGTACAAAATAAAATAATCGTTTATTATTTTTACGTTATTGTTTATGTTGTGGAATACGCCAAGGAAAATGTGCTCATTCTGTAGTCGTCATATAGCTCAATGCTCAATAAGTTTTTATTTTGACATATGATTGGTTGTTATGATCTTCCTTAAAAGCATCATCCAATAGAAATACGTATACTTGTTCCAAATATTTAGAACTAATTGTCTTTCCACCAGTTTTTATAGCTCAAAGCGCATGTCAATACATCAAAATATAACCTAAATTCATTACATGAAAGCCAACAACAAAGAAGAAAAATATAATAAACTAGAAGCTCTTGTAATGATAAATTACATTAAATTTTAATTAAATCATTTATATCATTTAAATTAAATGATAAATAACTATATAACTATTCTAAGGAGTACATTTTTTAATTCCCAGCCAAGTAAGAACATACGTGTGATGTCTAAGAAAAGTAAATCGAAAAATAGTAAAGAAAGCATAGCAGCTCCGAAGGTACTGAATATATAATGTAATTTTGTATATGGTATTAAAAAAATGATTTTAAGGAAGAAGACTGTGCTATCTCTTTGGATAAGTCAAAAAATATAGTCATACAAGTTTTGGCAAAGCCAGGAGCAAAGCAAAATGGAATTACCGGTGAATATTAATTTCATAAATTATAATTTTGTATCAGACTTAGTTGACTGTTACGTAGGTATGGGTTATAAGACACATATTTTTCAGGAATAACTGCTGAAGGAGTTGGTGTCCAAATAAATGCTCCACCTTCAGAGGGGGAGGCGAACACAGAGCTAGTAAAATATATGGCCTCGGTTCTAGGACTACGTAAAAGTGACGTTGTGTTTGATAAGGTGGGAATGTGAAAAATAATTTAATATATTGTAAATCGGTTTGAAATTTCACAAAGCAGTGCATTTGACTTTTGGTACCCCGATTATTATTAAAGATAGAAAGAATCTTGCATAATTGACCATATTTCTTGAGAATAATCTTCAGGTCAAATACATTTGGACTACATGAATTTCTTGTTCTCTGTGGCTAGTTAAAATTCAGCCATGGCACCAGATTCTGTTTATTGCGTTTGTTTTTAGTCGGGGCCAACTTCAGTCTTTTTTTTTAGTAAACAAAACGCCAACTATTTTTTTTATTTTTGAGTTAAGTACAGTAACTCTATGTAATAACAGCCAAGATACCTAGCATGACATCAAAAATGGGATGCACTGTATTTACTAATAAAAATTTAGAGTGTTCATTCAAATTTTAATCTCTGTGCTCTGTGAATTATCACTATTTAGAGCACAGTAGCGGTTTTTGGAAACTGTGATCATATTAATCCGATTATTAGGATCACTGATTCAGAAAGCAAATTGCGTAAAGTTATAAATAGTTTGGAAAGTTATCAAGTTTCAAAAAACCCATTATGTAGCCTGAAAAAATAATTTGCAGGAAACATTTTCAGAAATTAAAGGGAAAATATATTTCATGAATGATTATTATTTGATATTCAAATTTCCATTTTCATTTCGTAACATCATACGTGCTTTGAATTTTCTCTTCCACTTCTTAGTTATCTTCTGAAATAAGGTTACATATTTATTTCTAGAGGTAGCAAATGAATTAAAATTATTGATAAAAAGAAATATACATATGAATATTCACTTAAGCTTTATGTTAATTTAGCTAATATAATACTTATTATAACAAATGACTGGAGTTATGTTTATAAATCGTATTCTCAATGATATTACATACTATATTTTTTTATTTTTCAGGGTTTTAAGTCTAGGTCAAAAACGTTAAAAATTGTAGGAAATATCACCATAGACGAAGTGAAAAAGAAAATATCAGAGGAAATTGCATCATAGTACATGATCTCTTTTATACTCTTCTATTATCTTATGTTTTTATTTATTTAAATGTCATTGTGTTTATTAAAATTAATAAATATAATAAAACTACCCATCAAAAAGATTAATCAGTGCATGATTTTTAATAATAGTGCCAAAAATATTGATGTAGTTCTTACCTGAAAATTTTTTTATATACTTCAGTTTAACACAAAACGAGAAAATAGAATAGGATATTAATATAAATTCCCTATACATTTTTTTTAATCATGTGGTCAAATATACAGTGTGTTCTGTTTTTCAGGTTAACACCTCTGAAAATGTAAGACGGCTGTGGACTTTACGCAAGCCAATTTTTTTACCCCTGAAGGGAGGTTATATTCTAGTAATCATTTTATTGATGTAACAAAAGCCTGGTCTACTACGATTTTTTAAAGGAGCCGTTTTTCCAGAAAGTGGTTTAGGCATTTTTTTATCAAAAAGATAATATTACCAGGCTATTCAGCACTCGTCAAAATACCCTTATACCAAATTTGAACGACAAATGTCTATTCAGTGTTATTTTATGTAGTGCCAAAGTTCGAAAAATTAGACAACTAAAAATTATAATAAGCATCAGGTCAAAGATTGCCATGAAAGTGAAAACAAGTACCAATCGGACAAAGACATCAATAAAGTGATTAGTAGAATATAACCTCCCTTCAGGGTAGGTACTATTTGTAAAAAAATTGGCTTGCGGAAAGTCCACAGCCTTCTCAGATTTCCAGAGGTGTTAACCTGAAATACGGGACACACTGTATGTAGTTAAAAAGATTCAGGATCAAAGTAACATTTTTTTCTTTATTGCTGGATTTTTTTTTTGTATGAGATTCTCCGCCCTTAATTTTGGTCAGTCACGTACATCATTATTTTTTGTAAATAACCGATCATAAATTATCGCAATTAATGATGGAACGATCTTAATCTTTCGTCCTACCTTAATAAAAAAAGATGTAGGTATTTGTTAGAAGTGCGTAAATGTAATTGTTTTCAAGATAAGTTTAATTTTATGTTAAATATACTCATCAGTTTTATTTATAAAATGTAAAACGTATTATATTTTTATTAGAAACTATTTTAAAAAGAAAAGATAAATTAAACCAGAGGTTAAAAAACCCTATTAAAGAAAATTATACAACAATTGCTCAAAATGAGCGCCACATTGCTTAATACATTCCCGCGCTACGTGTCAATATATTAAGATACTTCTTACATGTACATCTTTTTTGTTGAGGAAAGATGAGGGATTCATATTTTTCTATTAGTCATTTGATACAGGGTGGCACAAAAAATGTATGTTTGGTTATTTACAAAAATAGTGGTGTATGTGGCGCTCTGTAAAAGTTTGTAAAATTAAGGGCGGATTATCTTCAATACAAAAAAAATTATCCCGAATTTTAGTCAAACCTAAAAAAATTCCAGCAATAAAGAAAAAATTGTAAATAAAATTGTAACTTTTTAACTGTCAATATTCAAACTACGAGATTAATAGTTAATTTAAATAGATAATTTTTAAAATATTATTTTGCCTGTATGACGTCATTAAACAAAAAAGTAACGATTTCTAGACCAATTTGTTAGGCAGGATTCCGCCTCCTCCGATAGATGCAACTACAGTCTCTTCGATAATTGAAGGTAATGAGCGTTTTGTGGTAATGAGAGGAAACCATCATTGTTAGATTGAATGATTTATCACAAATTAGATGATTATTCGTTTGGAAAACATACTTGTAAAATTAATTTGTACACCTAAAATATAAAAAAAACACATTATTTTAAAATTTTAGGGAACCATAAACTTTATTAATATTTTATGTGGCTGACAAAATATACCAAAAAAAAATGTTTAATTTACAAACCAGTAATAAGTAATAATATCTGAAATTGAAACAATACAATAACTTTAAAGTATAATTTAAATAATACGTTTGCGCCCCTTGAGGTTTGTGCTCCTGGCAGCCGCCGCCGCGGCCAGCCCCTAGCTACGACGCTGAATGTTAGTGTAAATAGTTTTACGTTCGATTGCGATGTTGCCAAGTAATTTAAAAAATTGTGAAATTGCATATAGTCTGTCAAAATTTATAATAATCTTCAAATGATAACATTTTGTGGTAACTATTTGACAGTGTGAAAGACGACCATTCCAAATGTACGTATGAATTAATTATTTTATGCCGAACACTGTATTCCATTTTGTACACTTTTTGTTCTCTTTAACATTTATTATAGTCTAAATTCTGTAATGATTTTCGCTAATTTTGAAGATATTTAACTTTTTTTTTTCACATTTCCATAAAGTGGTCAATTTATTGGTCAAAAATAAGGTTACTGCAATTTTACAATAAAAAACCAAATATGATAGCTAACAAAACTTCCCATTTTTAGGATTCTGCAAAAGTTGCTAATTAGGCAATATTAAATACATGGATTAATACTTCAACAGATGTATTTATATGTGCATAAAAGCATGCAAAACAATTACACTTAATCTGACTCAATCGCATATGGATAATTTTCATTTGTATCCAAATAGTAATCTCCAGTGACTCTAAAAATAAAGAAAATTGTAAAAGTATTGACCAATTTACTATTATTTTAGGAATGACACAAAAGTTGTTAAATAGTATGAAAGTTGAAAAAAATGGGCCAATGGGAGTATAAATCAAATTTAAACAAATAAATGTGTAATACTCACTCTTTGTCTATGTTATAGCCTCCCATTAGAGAGTACTGTCCATTGCATATGCCTTGTGTAAAGTCGGAGTAAGAGTCACATTGTTGCGAAACGAACTTGTTCCTTCTAATAGATTCAGCATAGAATTTATAAGCTCTGCCGTGTGAGCAGTTGCTCATGTCGCCATCGTCGCACCCTGGCTGCTTTTTACCACCGTTTGGGTAGTAATCAGAATGTCCCAAAGAGGTTGATATTCCATAAAAAGCGGTGTTTGTATGAATCACTTGGACATATTTCGCATCTGAAGAGTCGAGACAATAGTCTTTGTCTGATATTGATATCAAAGGTGCAGCTGGATCAAGACCTATTATAGTACCCACTTTGCCTCCTAGGGTTTTTCCAGCAATTCCAGAAACATGAGCTCCTAGAGAATGTCCTACAATGGATATCTTCGACAGAGGAATATTATGTGTTGAAGATAAAGACTGAATGAATTCTCCAACAAATTTTCCAATGTCTGGAACGGTGTCTCTAGCTACGATATAGTCAGTGTACGATACCTTGCTCCAATCTACAATGATGACATTCAAATCAAATTTATCCAACGCAGCAGACTTTACGTAGGAATTAAAAGATGAAACGTAATTACTTCTCCAACCGTGGATCAAAACCAAGACTTCTTTTGTAGGATCGAACGTTTCGACAGATAAACTAGACGTGATATTGTTAACAAGAGTGCCATTTCTGCTGCTTTTGCTACAAAAGTAGTAAACGACATCCGTCAACGAAGCTGTTACTTCAAGAGAAGGGACTGTTAAATCTTGCATTTCATAACCACCATCATCGGTCTCTACAAGGAAATATGACATGCGGTACTTGTTTTCTTCTTCCGCGACATAATTTCTTTGGGAACTTTCTAAAATGAGAAAAAATTGTGAGTTTCGTGCAAAGTTAAACTGGTGGATTACAATGCTTACCCGATTCCCTAAAAGAATAACCAAAAAGGCAAACAAACAGAAGTATCAGCTTCATTTTTGTCAAGGATGTCGTTTAACTGAGCGTGATTTGAAGTGGGAGACTGGTATTTATATCAAGTAGACAAAAATTGTGTTACAGTTTGCCGATAAGCGGTTTTTATTTTAATGAAGATAACTGTTTAAGTGTTTAATTATTTTATTAACATATTCTGATTACTTTGTAGAGTTGAACTATAGAGTGAGTACATCAAATTTAAAGAGATTAGAGCTCATTGGGAAAATAGCACAAGCCTATTCTACAGATATCCTTAGAATATTCAGAAGGATATGTCCTAGTTCTGGCTGTATCTAGCCTCAGGGCCTTTGAAGGATATCTTATGTTACAAAATCACAATGTCCTCCAGATATCCCACCATATTTTCCGGGGACATATACTCGTACATACAATACAAAATAAGCTGTGTCGTTTTATATTAAATAATCTAAAGATATTAAATTGTACCAATTTAGCTAATTCATAACCAATCCTTAAGAAATAACTGCTACTACCATTCTATATGGTACATTGACATTTACAAATCATCAAATGATGGATCTTATTCTCTGTAGTCCATAGACGTGATAGATATAAATATAAATTTTATTTTAAGTGCCCGTTTTTTCAACTCCACCAAATAAGTTGTTTAACAGCGATCTCCTTGTCTACAATTCAAGGATCTGTTTTGTAGTGTTTTATGAAGAAATGTCGTCCAAGAGATATTTCTTAAATACGACATAATGACATCATGAGAGATGCAGAATAAGATAATAAGATACTTAGATATCCTCATGATATAAATTAGTGTTATGTAAAATAGACATAAATATCCTCAAATGATATCGTATGTATGTCACATTTTGATGATCCTGATGTGAACTTTGCAGACTTAATAAGAATATCATAGAAACGTTTTGTATTATCTGGGTTTTTGTATAATATTTTATTATTTTCGTTTCGCTTTGTAATATTTGTAATATTAAAGTCTAATTCAGTAGTATCATAAGCTTACATACATTTTAGTGTACTGTACAAGTTAATGTCTGTGTAGGAAGTTATCATTTCGTGAGTTTACGGTCTATTAAATATTATATACCCTATTTTATAATCAATTCAAATAATTTATTCCCGTTTTATAGCCTCGTCTGTTGCAGCCAATACCTTTCAAGTAGAGATAGTTTGTGGCCCATCTCTGCCGATATTTAAGCAAAGATTAAGTCAGTTTCTTGCGATACTCGTAAATGCGGTATATCGTTCGAGAAATCGAGCTAATTTAAATTTTTTTCGTCTTATTTGTTGATGTTCCACAGCTCTTAATTTTTCAAAACACCCTGTATTATGGTACCCGATACTGATAAAAAAAAACTATTAATGAACGGTTGTAAAATGTAGTAATCAGTAGTTTGGATCAGAATTTGACAATAATAGTAGATATATATAATTGTTTGCATCTTGATTGAATATTGGATCAATAAATAAGTTGCAAAACAGATAATTAGACTTTAATTGCCACTTGTAAGTTTAATAAAACAATTATTGAGATGTACAGACTTATAAAAATACGTCATAAACTTTAAGCGTGATTCTTTGAGTGATTTTAAACCAAAGAGGTTATACAGAGTGTATCCTAAGTCTATGTCTTAAATTAGGGGGGTGATTCCTTGGGTCATTTTAGGACCAAAATCCTTAATAAACCAGGGCCCTAGTTTCCGAGGTAGAGGGCGTTTTTAAAAAATATCACATTTTTTTCAATTATCTCTGAAGTTGTAACTAATGTAACTAATTAAAGGTAATAATTCGGTATATTTCTATATAAATCTGCCAACCAGTGGCGGAGATTCAGGGGAGTTTTGTTATTAAAACCCTCAGAAAAACTACGCCACTGGATTTTCAGAGAAACTAATAGGCGCGTTTAATTTACTGTCATATTTAAAAAAAAGGTCGCTTGCATTTTCTGAAGAATATGTATCTGACTTTGATTATGAACTATTTATATATTTTTATGAAAATAGTATGTAACTAATTGTATTATAATAAATAATTGAATGAAATGAATTTTAAAAATTAATAAAATACTTTTTAATCTCAAGTGATGTAAACCCTTATCAGAAGTGTACAAGTATTTCTACTCATGTTGACTTAGTTGTGCACAATGTTCAAGATATCTGCGACAAATAAAATAATATTTGCTATAATTCACTATTATTTTAGCAGTATAGGTTAATTGGATGATTTTTCTCAATCGAGACAGCGTCTATGTTGTTTTTATGTGCTTACCAATTTTATTTTTAAACATTTTCAGATAGTCAAACTACTAACAAAAATTTTAAAGCGGTGGTTCGGACTGATTACCCTATACAATAATTTGGTAGATATCCAAAATTCACCACACTTTCCATTTGGGACAACAAAACCCGAAAACCCCAGCACGGCGATCCAGACGATGCAGAGACAAAAACTCACCGAATGTAACGTAATTTGAAGCTAATAAAAGACAACACCTTGTACACCATTAAAATTGTGAATCCAGAACAGTATTATAATTTTAAGAAATTCAGCCATGGTCCAGAGTACCGCACTAGACCGAAGCCTACAAGAGAGACGCGCGTAGAGTCTGCTGTGAGTGCGATTGAACGTCGACCTTGGGTATCGGCAGATATATAACCAGAGCCGGAATCCTCGCCAGTGTTTGTACATGCTCAAAATTGCTTGAGTCCTTGTATGTAAGTGTGAATACATGTCATTATTGTTCTATTTAGCCAAAATAAACAATTAATCTGTGAATATTGCGAGTTAGATTATCTTCAAAAAATCACAACCCCGGGTTAGTTTCTGTTCAAAAAATACAATTTTACGTACCTAAACCGGCAACTACTACCAAACAAATTTACAGGGTGTTTCTACACATAAAGTAAGTGATACAAATTCCCATGATAACTTTTCGAAAATTCTATGTCAATTAAAAGAAAATAAGGTTATGTCACTTCGGTAGTATTGAGTTTCTGATGAGATGTAATTATTTTGATGAGTACAATCATCTAAAAATTTTGCTCATACCGCTAATGTGTTTAAAACATATAGGTTTTTTACAAATATTTACCTGAGTTTCGAATATTATTATTTTTTTTATTAAAATAGATCTTGACTCAGAGTCAAATTCATATAATAATAATAAGTATTACCTATTTTAATTAAATTAAATTAAAAACCGTCCAAATTAATGTCGTATAAATAGACAAAACAATATTCTTTTCTCTATCATTTATTTTTATTTCTTTTGCCTGACATCGAGATGGTTCACGGATACGTATTGGGTTCAACAGCCAGCTTTCCATCTGTCTGACCAATACAAGGGAACTTCACAAGAGTGAAAATTGTGGCAGTCACTTTAGAGCAGACCTGGCGTTTCTGTATGTCGACGTGGTTGATGGTAAGGCAGATCCCTGCTAACGCCGGTGGGCAAATTGGAGCTACGCTTGGGTCTGAAACAGCAAAGCGTGTCCTTTAAATTATTATTTGATTCGTGGTTAGTCGGGGTTACCGATTTGTCCTGTGTAGATGCTATTTCCGCTTATTGTAACTGTTGCTCTCAGGGTAATTTCGTTCGGAATCAATTTCAAGCTGAGGCAGACTAAAAAAAACCAGAAATGTGGATAGGGTATGATATAATACAAGTTGGCATAGCGTAAGAAGGCAAGCAAATCGCCCTGCATTTTTACTATGTACAAGGAGGAACGTTTTGGTAATGCCGTTTTTGAATTACTGCGTCTCAAATCAGGGCAATGAGAAGGATATAAAAAATTTCAGTCTATCTAGGAGAGCAACATTTTCAAATGAAAAAAAGTCAAGGGAATTGTGAAAGGCTGATTTTAAAAAGAAATTATGAAAATAATAATAAAAGATCCTTACAGTTACGATGTGAAGTATTCGTCAGGTCTATACCAGCACAACAGTCACATTGCAGATTGTCATCACATTTACACCCATCAAGTGTGACAAATTTTTGCATTTTTGACGGATCAGTTGTTACAGCACGGTCCTCAGCTCCAATCAACGGAAAACCTGAAAAAAAAAATATAAAATTAGTTTCATTGCGTGGCTTATCAAGTGTTGAGGTATTTGTAAACGATTACGCCAAACGCTCAGTATGAAACCAGCGCTTTCTTTTCAAGCAGACTCTTGCAGGGTAACCTAAATTATAGTAATTTGCGGCAGTCATGCTGCGATTGATCAATTAATTTCTTTTCTCACTTCACAAATACCGTTAAATATTTTACACTGCAATTTTAACATTTCTTGATAATCAACGCACTGTATTTATCCAATTATCAGAATTCTTGGCGTGTCCGCACAAGATACTGTCGAGGGTTTCGGAATACAAACAGGAGAAGAAACACCGTAATAAAACGTACCGTTAAACAGCAGACTGATTGACACTGTCGCAATAACTGGGGTCAGATATATCATGGCTGTGAGGAGTAACTTTCCCAGAACCGAATGAAACTATGTTTTGCTTGATTTTTATAACGACATAATTGGAACAGTTTATGTCAGTCCACCTCATTCGATGTCAACGCATAAAAATTAAGTAGTAAAATTGCGATACAGTGCATTGCAATGCCAATTAATATTGTTGATTACCAGCGGATATAAAATGTTTTTTTCTTAAATTTGCTGATAAGGTTACCAAGGTAAAGCCAGTTGGGCGAAACATTGAAGGAGTTAGAAAAAAATTGTGTACTCACTCATGTGATCAGCCAACAATGACCAATGTCGTTGGAAATTCGTATATAAGTAACGCAATAGCTCCGTTAAGGTTTTTTTCCAGGTTATTAAATTTCAAATTGTAGTTTTTCCTTTTGCAACATTTTCTCTTAATACCCATTTCAAAAACGAAAATGACCGTTCAACATTTACCGAGGTCACAGGCGCATATCCAAAATAGTCGAAGTTTTTAATATATGCTACTTTTATTTATTATTTTATACATGTCTGCCTCTGATCTGAAACTTCCCATCGATCAACGTATTCTATTCGAAATGTTCGCCCTAATGTCTGCCCTACCGACCTGGCGTGTCGGTTAACAATCCAGGTTTTTTGCCGAGGTTCGTTTCGTTGTCATTTGTGCTTGGTCGAGTGTATGGCAATTGTTTTTATGACAGTCCCTAGCATTGTTTATCGTGAGCATAGAGGGGTACACGGCTTGTCCATAGATTTAGCCTATATCTGCTACTACAACGCGTATTGCCGCTTACTAGGATAATATACATTTATATGATTGTCGCCACAGTTTCCGATGTCTATATACAGGGTGTCCCACCGAGAACTGCGTCGATCGATGTCTAGGAAAGTACTGCTCCGAAAAATTTAAAAATTTGGCAACATGGCAATATCCCTGAGGCGAACACAACTAAAATATCTAGAACTCTCCAGCACTTCCGGTTATACTGGAAGTCCTTCGTTATTTCAAATGGGACACCCTATATATTATTACATTTTCGTATTCTACGTGAAATTTGAGGGTCACTTTATTAAATATTCCCTATACCCAGGAGTTATAAATTTGGAGATATTAATTTTTAAAGAAAAAATTTGATAGGTTCAAGGGGTTCGCGGAGATGCTAGTAACTCTTTTCAGGAGCGTGATATCAAGCGGATTTTGATTTTTGGTACCTGTAAAGGGTATACATTATAGTATACCAACAAATTAAAACATTTAACAGCTATAATTTTGTTAACTTAAATGGAACACCCGGTAATGTTTTACTCCGTCGTATGCAGATTGAAATTTCCTTTCAAGTCATATAATCATTGTTACGGTTCCCGTTACTACTTTTAGAGATATTTGCAATTTTCTATTTTTTGGACTAATTTTTCTCGTTTCAGACCTGCTGTCAAATTGGCCATGACCAGAAACACTCTAAAAACAAAGGAAATAACATGACATTTGTCAAGTTAGTTGTCAAATTATCGTTGTGTCTGAATAGTTTTGCCGAAAATTTAAATAAAAATACCTGGGGATCGTTTAAATTATATTAATGAGGATTATTTTAATTTGCTTGTCCGCCATCAGAAACCCTAGGTCTTTCCTGATGATTATTCCAGTTCTCGTTATTGGTTCTAGGGCAGGGGTCGGCAACTGGCGGACCGCGGAAGGTAAATTACTGGACCGCCAAACATTTTTTGAAGGTATAAATTACTTAAATAAATTATTTAAAAAATGTTTTTTTTTTACGTTTGAGTGCCAACCTTATCATTTTGTGTGAGTGTTTTGAGTTCTTAATGGTTAGTAGCAGATTAAATTTGAGTCCAAATTAAAATAAAAAATTTGTAAGAAATATGAATTTTTTTTTTTCTGGACCCCGTTAAAAATTTTCAAAAGTATCCGGACCCCATCTAAAATTACTTGCCGACCCTTGTTCTAGGGCCTCAGTAACGGCAAAGCTTTTGGACTGAAGATGCCGACAGGGCGATACGTTCAACAACTTCCAAAACCATTATTCTAGTAAATGTTTGGTGGTCATTGATTCTTCACACATGTTATACATTGATAGCTTTTAACAACGTTTCACATGTAAAATGTTAAGTTTAAGGTAATTACGTATTATTACCAAATAAACATTTTTTTGTGCCTAATCTTTTTTGCTAAAATAAAATTGCTTTATTACTTGCATTGCGCTGATATCGTAGTACTTATCCGGTCATGACTTAAGATTACAAGTTATTTTATTTAAAACACTTTTTCCATAGTGTTAAATTTTATTACTAAAACTACACCACTTCAAATTAAATTACAAATGGAATTTTTCTAACTAGCGGTACCTACTCAAAGAACGCAGTAATTTTAAAACATAACATTTTTAATTCTAATTTCCAGAATGAAATTTGAAAGTTCTTAATTAAACAATTTTTAATAAATAAAAGCGTATTTTTTTTAAGAAACAATTATTTTTAGAAACAAATTTTGTAGGTTGGAAATTGCCGTTTTCAGTTAAAAATGGATTGATCCTTATTTATACGCTAAGCGTATGCAACACAATAAACACCACTGTCAAATTAGTGCTGCCTAACTTAGAACAATTGATAACTGTAAAAATAGGTTTTTACTATTAACAGTGACTAAGGAAAGCATTTATGATTCTAAGAAATCGGGAAGTAATCATTTTTCATATAAGTGGAATTTCTTTACTTAAACATGATGAGAGAAAACTTATGTATATCAAGATTATTATACGTTGAAATATGTACAGTACATACACATGTACTTTTGATTTCAAATACATACCTATTCTGTGGTGGTAGATACTGATTGAAATTATTACCTATTTAAACAGTTTTTTCTTTTGGGATTTGCATTTGCTGAGTTTATTTTTAAATATATTTTTTCGCTTATGGTGGAATTTTAAGAATGTAACAAAAAACTAAAAAGCACCCACTTTACGAAGTTAAAGTACATATATGTTAATTAAATAAGTAAAAGTTGTTAGCTGATATGTAGATTTATGTACAGAGCTGAAATAATATACTAGCCATAACAACCAACACTTTGTTAAAATATATGAATGTTTACACATAGAAAATCTATTGCCTGACAAATTTATGCCTATTTACACTATAAAAACGTTTTGGTATGTCTAATTAGTCTGACATTTTGAGTGGCTTATGTCATCCTAAGCATTATCTTGTACAGCGTACTGACAAACGAGTAAAAGTAGTAGGTACCATTAGATTAAAATTGATGACCGAAGCGTATATAAGAGAAATAATTGTAAAATGACTTTATTACCTTTCAAATTATTTCTTGATGTACAGGGCGTACAAACCTAGAGAGGACATTTGAGGTGTAAATAAATGGCGCAAAAACTCGATTTCAGAAGAAAAAAAATGAAAATTAACAATTTTTCTGTTTACTACAAAAAAAAAAACGGGACAAAAAAGCGGACGATGTCCACAACTATTCACCTCTTTTTAAGGAGGAGCTTTAAAATGGATCAGAACAGTGTATTCCATAATACTTTGCTGAATCCAGACATAAAGTCAGAATTCCCGTATCAGTTCCTCTTTTGGCTCTAACAACAAGACAATCATCTAAAACTCAGACATTTCAAACCGGCTTAAGTATCCAGTAATTGGAAAAACATTCAAATTCATAATCTGATTGCATCATAACCCCATAGTAGCTTCATAAATCCGTAACTCCATAACGCCTTAACCCCATAACTCTTTGTGTTACAAAGTTACTCGGGATTCTTCTCTTTGCATCTACATTTAAAAAACGTAATAGTACTTCATTGACTGCAGAATCGGTGAACGTGAGATTTCGCTATCAAAATTGTTCAAATACCAGATTACGACGTTATGGGGTTACAGGGATATGGGGTTATAGGGTTGTGATGTAATGAGATCACAAACTCCAATGTTTTTCCGATCACTAACTACTCATGACGGTTTAAATCTCGAAACTCGTTTCTAGACGAGTTTATTGATGTTAGGGTCAAAACACGAACTGACCCGGGAATTTTTACTCTACACTCGAATTCTGAGAATCAAAGTGCTATGTGTTAGGGACATCATATATTAGGTTTTTATTTTTACTAAGACGCTGAAAGAGAAAAGTGTGATGTTAACATAAACATTGGTAATGAATGGTAGCGTTCTTCTGTGCTTTCAGTCGGACTCTAATAAGATTGACTGGCCTCATTTTTAAAAAAGAACGTGAAGAGTGTGTATGCGCGCGCGCGTGCTTTTAAATACAGTGTTAATAAGAGACTTGAGAGTGTCAATAAGAGACTTGAGAGTGTCAATAAGAGACTAGAGTGTCAATAAGAGACTAGACAGTGTTAATAAGAGAGTAGAGGGTGATAACAAGAGACTAGAGGGTGTTAATAAGAGACTAGATGGTGTTAATAAGAGACTAGGGAGTGTTAATAAGAGATTAGATAATTGATGTTAATGTGTTAGTAAGAGACTAAATAATTGAAGTTCTTGTATTTATATGGTTATTATGTATTTATAAGTGTCAATAAGAAACTATATAGAGTATTAACAATTTGACTAGAGAGTGTTAACAAGAGACTAGAGTTAATAAGAGACTATAGGGTGTTAACATGAGACTAGAGTTAATAAGAGACTAGATGGTGTTAATAACAGACTAGGGAGTGTTAATAAGAGATTAGATAATTTTGATGTTAATGTGTAAGACACTAAATAATTGAAGTTCTTGTATTTATATGGTGAGTTATCACCAAATAATCCATCTTAGCATGCTTACTAACTGTTCTGTACTGTTTAAATGTTTCATTTGTGAAACTGGGTAACAATGTCTCAAACTCTGACTTGTGAGCATAACGTTTTGTTTATTTAAATATAACTGTAAGTAAATTACTTAATAGAGTTTATGGAATTTTAACTTATAGTTGATGTTATGAGAAACGGGCTCTACATTTAACAAAAATATAAGAAAGTCTCACGACTTACTATCATAACGAAACTACACCAAATTTTACTTAAAAATTAACAAGTTTACTTTTTGAAATCTTCAAAAATCGTTAAGTGGGGAATATTAAATACATGAAAGGTACTTCATAATATATTTAATACTTCAACAGATCACTTAAATATATGCGTATGAGCAAAACACATATGCCAATATGCAACACAATTACACTTAATTTGAATCGATCGCGTAGGGAGAATCTTCATTTGTGTTCAAATAGTAGTCTCCAGAGACTCTAAAAATAAAGAAAATTGGTAAACATATTAATATAAAAGAATTTGACATAAAAATTTTTAAACATTGTGAAATTAAAAAAAAAATGTAAAAATGTTGGACAGTGGAAATATAACAGTCAAATTGAAACACATAATAATAATAATAACACTCACCCTTTGTCCATGTTATGGCCTCCCATTAGAGAGTACGGTCCACTGCAGTTGCCTTGTGTGTAGTCTGAGTAAGAAGCGCATTTTTGTGAAACAAATTTGTTACTTCTAATAGATTCAGCATAAAATTTGAAAGACCTGCAGTGTGAGCAGCGGCTTGCAAAGTCCAACCCGCACCCTGGCTGGTCTTTACCACCGTTTGGGTAGTAATCAGAGTGCCCCAAAGAGGTTGACAGTCCAAGGAAACCGGCGGCTGTATGAATCACTTCGACATACTCCGCATCTGAAGAGTCAAGGCAGTAGTCTTTGTCTGAGATTGATACCAAAGGTGCAGCTGGATCAAGACCTACAATATTACCCACTTTGCCTCCTAAGTATCTACCGGCAATTCCTGAAATATGAGCTCCCAGAGAATGTCCCACCATGGATATCTTTGACAGAGGAATGTTATGTGTTGAAGATAAAGACTGGATGAATTCTCCAACAAATTTTCCAATCTCTGGAACGGCGTTTCTCGCAACGAGATACAGATTCTTCGCAAACTTTCCCCAATCTACAATAATCACATTCAAATTAAAAGTGTCTAACGCAGCAGACTTTATGTTGGCGTTAAAAGATGAACTATAACCATCTAGCCAACCATGGATCAAAACCAAAACTTCTTTTGTAGGATCGAATGTTTCTACAGATAAACCAGACGTGATATTGTTAACAAGAGTGCAATCTCTGTTGCTTTGACTGCAGAAGTAGTAAAGGACATCCGTCAACGAAGCTATTACTTCAGGAGAAGATACTGTTAAATCTTCTATTTCATAACCACCATCATCTGTCGCTACAAGGAAATATGACATGCGGTTCTTGTTTTCTTCTTCTGCGACATAATTCCTTTGGGCACCTTCTGAAATGAAAAAAAAAGCAATGAATTCTGTGCAAACTTAAATTGATGGGTTACAATGCTTACCCGATTCACTTAAAGAATGACAACAAAGACAAACAAAGAAGAGTACCAGCTTCATTTTTGATAAGGATGCCGTTTAATTCAGTGTGGTTTAAGTGGGAGAACGGTATTTATAGCAATTCGAGGAAAAAATGCGTAAGAGATATGCGGTTTGTCGATAAGCGGGTTTTATTTTAACGAAGATAATTTTTCAAGTATTTTTTAATTATTTTATTATTAATGTTTTGAGTACTTTACAAAGTTGAGCTATAGAGTGAGCACATCAAATCTGGAGAGTCTAGAGCCCATTACGAAAAAGAACAATGCTGTTCTAAAGATATCCTTAGGAAATCCGGTGGAATGTACCTCCATCCGTGACCCAGGAATATACGGTTCTGGCTATGTCTAGCATTTGAGATTTAACTTGCTACTAATTAGGACATCTTTAGATATCCCATCGTATGTCCCAGAGGCATATATATTTCACTATATGCTATTCTCAGAACAGTCTAAGAATCGAGAGCCACATAATATAGAGAGCCACATAATATACCACACGAATCACGTAATATAGAGAAAGAGAGCCACATAATATAGAGAACCACATAATATAGAGAAAAAGCCACATAACATAGAGAAAAAACCACATAATATAGCGGACCTCATACTCTATTTTATAATCAATCCAATTAATCTATTTCCGTTTTATAACCTTGTCTGTCGCAGCCAATATCTTTCAAGTAGATACAGTTTGTGGCCCATCTCTGCCGATATTTAATCAAAGATTCAGTCAGTTTCTTGCTTTAGTTAATTCCGTAATAAAAAATCGAGCTGTTTAATTTCTTTTTCTCTTATTCTTTGATATTTTAAAAACTCCTGAATTTACGACAACTTCCCTGTATATTTGTGTCCGATACTGATAAAAAACTATTATTGAACAGTTGTAGAATGTAATATCAGTTGTATGGATTGTTTGTTATCTTTTGCATACCTAGATTGCTGGGATCGAAGAACAAGACTTTATTTTGATAAGATTAATTTAATTTTGTTTCGGAATTAGCGTAAATGGAAAATATTTTTTTAGATAGAAAAACAATTACAATGCGTCCAATCATATTCAAAGGTTAAAAAATTAAACATAATTTGACTTTACCAATTTTAAAAAATTATATTATATTGTCGTCTTGTAGGACTTGAAGATGAGGTGAAAAAGTTGGACCTCGAAACCGGTATTTATTTATTTTATTTTAAAAAAATAAAAGGATTGTGAGAAATTGGACTTTTCTTCTTTCTACGGCAACTTTTATGTTTATTTATATTAACCGATGATCTCCTTAACTAGGTATTAAGGATCATTTTTATAGTGTTTTATGTCGCATACAGCACGTCATAATGACCTCATTAGAGGTGCAGAATAGGACTACTTTATCAGAAAATGGCATAATCAAAATGCCATTTATAACTAGCCTCATAATATAAATACGTGGATGTAAAATGGACATACCTCAAATATGTCCCAATAATATTTTATGGATATCATATTTTGATGATCCTGTGGACTTTGCAGGTTTAATTAGGATATCACAAGGACGTTTTGTGTTATCTGGGTTATTGTACATTCATTTCGTGAGCCTATTAAATATAATATATACTCTATTTTATAATCAATCCTAATAATCTATTTCGGTTTTATAGCATTGTCTGTCGCAGCTAACACCTTTCAAGTAAATATAATTTGTGGCTCATCTCCGCCGATATTTAATCAAAGATTAAGTCAGTTTCTTGCTTTAGTTAAGGCCGTAATAGAAAATCGAGCTGATTAATTTCTTTTTCTTCTTATTCTTTGAGATTTTACCTACTCCTGAATTTATGACAACTTTTTTGAAACCTCCCTGTATACTTCTGTCCGATACCGATAATAAACTATTATCGAACAATTGTAGAATGTGATATCAGTTGCTTGGATCGGCATTTGGCAGCAATAGTAGATATATAATTGTTTGTATGTAGATTGAGTAGTATATATAAACAATAAGTTAATTATATTTTAATTGCCACTTTTAAGTTTGAGGAATTGAGCGCACTGATTTTTATTGAAATTTTTTTTGAGAAACGAATAGTTTTTGTGGAATGTTTGGTAACGTTCATTGGTAACGTTAATGAAAATTAGAAAAACAATAAATCGTAAGTGGTTCATTTTTCGAATTAAATTGAAGAAATTCTTTTTCTTGGAAACATTACAAATTGCAGAATTTCTGAGGTTTTCAGTGAGAGTAACTCGCACTAATTAGATAAATCCTTAGCCTAGGTTTCGTCATTCTGTACGAAACGTCTTCAGATATATTACAGGTGATTTTTTAGTTTTAACCCTCTGACCTGGGAAACTACTGATGATTTGTGGATCCATGTCTGTATAACCATTTTGGCTTAAAATCCCTCCCCCTTTAAAGTTCGTCGAGGTACCTACTTAATTAACACCCCAGTATAAAAAAAAATACTAATAAAGTATCGGTTTAAGGTAGTATAATCTATTTAGCGAAATAATTTTGATTAAGTTTGGCATATGATATTGTAACAGTAATAAGAAAAAATACGTTTATAATACAGGTTAACTTAGCAAAACCTTCTTATTGATCGATTTCTTTCATTCCATATTTGATGGAACTGGGATTTGAATAAAAATATTTTAATCTTATCTAGGTAATTTTTTTAATCAGTTGCACTTTTAACTCACTTGAAGTGTTTCCTTATAATATGGTGATTAACTAATTTTAAGATATAATCGAAAATTTGCAAATTGTGGGATTTTTTGAAGTTCCGCACGCATAACAATAACTTTACGGACGCTGTATACTTCGTAAAATGTAATTTTTTCACACTAGTGTGCACGATAAGTATTTATATTGTTTATAATATTTTGCTTGTTATAAAACAAATTCATAAAGAATACGTAGACTTTATTCAAATAGCATATAATTAGCTTGCATAGTAATAAGTAATCTAAGTGACTTTAAAAATCAACAAAACCCTTGACTAATATCAGGTGATGTACCTTATCAAAAATGCACATGTGTTTCTATACATCTTATTTTATTTGTGGTAAATGTTCAAGATATGTGCGACATAAAAAAATGTTTACAAGAATTCATACTTTTAGCAACATAGCATGAATTGGCAGGTTTTTCTCACTCCAGAGAACTTGTTAGCCGTTTTTATATCTTTACGGATTTTTTTCAGATATTGAAGCCGACAGAAATTTTAAAGCGGTGATTCTGAGTAGGATGATCACCCGATACAATTATATTTTTTCCGTAGGCAGTAGGCAAATGGGATTTGCTTTCCTATTCTATTGAAACTCCAATGCCTATAACAATCTTTCACTAAGATAGCCCCAAACTATGCCGCTGTAAACCTTGTAACCCCTATTTAGGATTATCCTATATGAACATCCTGCTTGTAATCCTGCACTAATCCTAAATTTTAACGTCCTATGTATGTACATATCTGGTGGATATCCCGGTAGACCGTTGTTGCTTTATAACTATCCTAATTGTTGTTAACCTCCTTGCTTTGATCTGACGCTGTTGAATTGACTGATAGTGAGAAATTTGCACGTTTATTTTGAAGGGAGTACATTTTTACATATCTATACAAGGTGTCCTGCAACTATGAGCAAAAAATTTAGATGGTGATTATACATATTATAAATATTTAAAATAACTTCATTAGTAATGAGGTTTTGAAAAAGTATAATTATTTTGATGAGAAGTATATATATTTTTTTAACAAATATGGATCTGTTTCAAATTTTTTTTTTTGTTTTATTAAAATATTTCTTGAAACAAAACAAAATTGCTGACATATGGTCACTTAGAAGCTTTTCCGTTACTTGCATTTTTTCACTAAATTGAATTTGATATCATATTTATGTATATACTTAATAGTAAGTAAATTACACCATAACACTTTTTTAGTAACGAAGTTTTGCTTCATATTGTTTAAAAATAGTTACAATTACGGGTATAATATACGTTGGATACATTTGTGAAGAAATAGTTTGGTGGTCACTGATTCAAAATTCGAAATTACAAGATTATATCTAATAAATAGGCTAAGACTAAACCATTCTTCTCTTGAGGCACATTCACAATATAAAGTAGACGTTTGTATTAAAATTGCTAGATGAAACAAGGAATTCGGCAATAGTAAAATGTGCATCCGAAATAGTATTCAAAGCAAAGACGTTTTCAACAACCAGTGATACTCAAATATGGAGAATTTTGACATTTAACATTAACCTTGAGAAGAATAATCTGGAGGTTCATCATTAAACAATTTTCAATAAATAAAAATTGATTTTGTATTTAATGTATTGAATATTTTTATTTTAAGAGACAAATTTTGTAGATTTGAAATTGCTTCGTTTTTAGTAAAAAATGAAAAAATTCATATTTATCTAAGCTTATGCAACACAATATACACTACTGTCAAAGTAGTGCTGCCTAACTTGGGACAACTGATAACTGCAAGATAAGATTTGTAATATTGAGCAAAAAATTAAAGTTGTAGCAAATATTAATAAATATATATTTACAAAAAATTAATTGGGAAGCACAAAGTTAGCATAGTAGGAAAACTACTTTTTTATTTAAATAACTATGATTAATTACCTAGTGGGATAGAACACACTATCAGCATAACCTCTATAGCTTGTATTATGAACCTAACTATGCTCTAGGAACAAACTATGTTTATTACCAGCAACTACTTAGTTAATTGTTAATTCCGCTTTAGACGCATCAAAAGCTTGTTATTAAACTGAATTTGCAAAAGTTTCAGAACACCTAATTAAATACGTTAGCATCTGTTAGCTTCGAAATTATACGCATAACAAACCACTCGTCTAACATAAACTGTATCCACTGTATGGCTTTAGAATTTAAAAAGTTCGTACCGCAGAATAACACATTGTTGTTTAAACAGCTATTAAAAAAACATATAAAGGCTGTTTCCTAATAATAATACGTTAAATCAATATCCAGCAACCCATAAATCTTAAACCCATAAAACGTTAGCCCATAAAACCTGAATCCATAAACCAATAGACATTTAACCCATGAATCCTAAATCTTCACCTAT